CCTGCTGTTTAAAGGATACATAATATTCCATTGTATGGAAAATGTAGGTACAGTTTCTTTATCCATTCATCTGCCGACAGACATTTGGGTTGTTATACCTTTTGGCTCCTACGAGTAATATTGCTATGAACATTTGGTGTGTGAATATCTGTTTGAGTCTTTACCTTCAGTTCTTTTGTGTATGTACCCAGAAGTGGAATTATTGGGTCAAGTGGTGATTCTGTGTTTAATTTTTATTAACCAACTTTTGTTTTGAACTTAGTTCAATCCTTGTGGTCCTTTATTGTTTTATCTTTTTTATTTTGTATCTGTGAGAGTGGATTAAGACTCATCTCTGGTAGCTCTTTGACACAATTGTATCCTGAGGGGAAGGTGCTGGTGTTGCTCCTTTGAAGTGTGGTTTGTGTACCTATAATTTGACTGTTTAAACATTTATCAGTATATCTAGTATTATGGGTAAAAGTCTAGAAAGCTTATTATCTTAGTGAGTTTTTAAAAAATTTTGAATGAGACTTGAAATTTCTAATCCAGTTCTGAAAATATAAAGAAATACTGTGTAAACAAACAAACCTGAAATTAACATATGATACAGTATTATTTGGGCTTCCCTTGGCTCAGCTGGTAGAGCCCACCTGCAGCGCTGGAGGCCTGCCTGGGCTGGGAAGATCCCCTGGAGAAGGGAAAGGCTCACCACTCCAGTATTCTGGCCTGGAGAATTCCATGGACTGTATAGTCCATGGGATTGCAAAGAGTTGGACACGACTGAGTGACTTTCACTTCACTTCACAGTATTATTAACTAAAGTACAGGTTTTATTCAAATCTTACAGAATTTTATGCTAGGATCTATTATTTATTTTCATACCTTATTTAAAATTTCACTTTATATTTAGTTGCATTGAGCAGCATTAGCAGAATGCAACAAATTCTGATAAATTGTCTTTTCATTTTTATTCTATTACACATATTTTCTAACTTTATTTGTTATGACTTCTTGTATACACTCATCATTTAAGTGGACATTTAATTTCCATATATATGGGTTTTTTAAAGTATCTTTGACATTAAGTTCTCATTTTGATACTAATTTCTCATTTAAAGGCTTTCTTTGCAGTCATGCTCTGTGTTTTTCCTGTCTTGTAACTTTGCTGAGGCTTTCAGTGGCTGAGTCAAAGAGCTCTCTTGGTAAATGTCACATGGCACTTGGAAATATGTGGGTTAATTTCAAATGTTTTTGATATTGATTTCTAACATAATTCCACAGTGTTAAGAGAACAGACTCTATATGATTTCAATACCTTTAGACCAGGAAATTTTTGCACCTTGTTTTATGTCCCTGGATATGTTCCAGTGTCTCCTGGTTTATAATCTATGGGAATTTGAATAGAATTTGTATTCTGCTGTTGTCTGAAAATTGTATAAATCCTAATTATGTTGGATTGGTTCACAGTGCTTTTCAGGTCTATTATAGCTTTCTACTTTTCTATGTATTTTATTAATTTTTGAGAATTTGATTTTGAAACTCCAACTAAAAATCTTAATTTACTTAAAATGCTTGTAATATATAGTGGAACTATATGTAATTTTGTTCTGTGTTTTCCAAGTCTCCTATAAATGTGTTGTCATACTTTCATAATTTTAAAAAAATGTAAAAATGTATAAGAATAGAGTACACATCTTGTCTTACCAGATTGGAATGACCATTGGTTGTTAACCCCTTGCTATTCCTACTATCAGGAATCTGGAAGCAACATATAAGAAAGGAACAGATAAAGTAGTTTTGAAACCTCTTTATCTTCTTAAAGCTTGCTATATTTAATACTATCTCCAAGGGAGGTAACATCCGAGTTTTGCTTAGAGTTGGCTGAGCAGCAAAGAGGAAGGTGTGTTTGTGGCCCTGACACCTGTGGTCTTTCTGTTGTACGGTAGTTAGGTCCCTTCCCTTTTGTTCTGCAAGAAATTGTACTATTAGAGAATAAACTTCAATTACCTATAATTCCGTTTGGTTAGAGAACTCCCATTTTAGAATAGATTGTGCAGAATTGGCCACAGATATCAGAAGGATTAAATCGGCATTCTTGATAAATTTCTAAGGTAGGCTGCAAGTGTAGATGTATTTATTGTGTGCTGAAGCATAGCTTAGCCTTGAAGCCTTTTTCTGTAAAGTACACATTCTGGTAAGAACATGGTGATCATCCACAGAGGGGGAAAGAAGGTGGAGAGTGTCAGCGTATTTCTAAACTGACCACTTAATTATTTGGCCGCGCTGGGCCGCTCCGTTGCTGAGTGGGCTTGCTCTAGCTGCAGGGAGCTGGCGCTCCTCGTTACGGCGGGGGGCTTCTCACTGCAGTGGCTTCTCTTGTGGAGCATCAGCTCTGGGCGTGCAGCCGTCAGTAGCCGTGGTGCCTGGGTGTAATTTCCCCGCAGCATGTGGAATCTTCCCTGACCAGGGCCTGAACCCGTGTCCCCTGCACTGCCCCGTGAGTTCCTATCCACTGGACCACCAGGGAAGTCTGAGTGTAGGTGTTTTAAAGATAGAGGCCATTGGAAAATTCATGTGAGAAAACTAAGTGCTCTGGAGATGATGTGTGAGAGTGTAAGGATGGTAGATTGCAATTCACTTTGCAGGGTTTTTGCTACTAAAACACATATAAAACTGACTAGGAAAATGCCAAACTTGAGATAGTTGAATAACTAGTAATTCTTACACTGTCTATGCTTCTTAGAGGCCTACTGTGACCTTGCCTGGCAAAACCCATTGCCCCTTCCTCCAGGCATCCTTCCTTTAAGCAGTGTGTTTCTCTCGGCTAGACTGTGAAGTCTTTAGGCAGAAATGGCATGTCCTACTCTGTATTTTTTGCACTCGGTATAGTGTTTACACACAGGAGATCCTTCTAAACCTTGGCTGAGTCTCTTCTTAGTCTGAGAGTGCCTGCAGGCTTAGTTGCTCAGTTGTGTCCAACTCTTTGTGACCCCATGTACGTAGCCCGCCGGGCCCCTCTGTCCGTGGGATTTCCCTTGTACTCCAGTATTCTTGCCCCTACTCCAGGGGATCTTCCTGACCCAAGGATGGAACCCACGTCTCTTCTGTCTCCTGCATTGGCAGGTGGATTCTTTACCGTTGTGCCAGCTGGGAAGCCCTCCTACGGTGAGACTTGGGCACAAATATTATCAAAACAAGAGAAGCAGCAGCTACTGTCCTTATCAGAGGAGGACTCTGAATCAGAGTTACAATCCAGCCAAGAACCCAGGAAAGCACTCCCAGAGAAACCACAGAGGTTTTTTTAGTTTCGTATGGTACATCAAGCTGTTTTGTTGTCTCATTTCCTTGATAGGCCGGCCCATGGCCTGGAAATCTCTTGTTTGTTTAGCAGACACCGAGGCATGAAAGTTACAGGGTGACAAAAGCATGTAATTTTAGTACCATATAATATATTTAACACAGTGTAAGAAGTCACAGTAGGGACATGTGCGTAGGGCATTCTCTGTGACAGAGGGGCTGGAGGAACTCTTAATAGAAAGTAGTGTGGTTGCTGAATGAGAGAGAAGGGAGAATACCTCCTGCCAGCAAAGTCTTCTCTGAAGAGAGGCCGAACCTCCCAGCCCAGGAGATGGAGTCCAGGAATGGAGGCGGGTGGATGCAGCTGGTGAAGCTAGGGCCAACTGGGGGAAAAAAGGCAGAGAACTGACTGGGAGAAACCTCATCTCTGTTTTTGCTGTTTGTCTCCTGTCTTCTCTTTGTGCTGCTGCTGCAGCTAAGTCGCTTCAGTCGTATCCGACTCTGTGCGACCCCTTAGGCGGCAGCCCACCAGGCTCCCCCATCCCTGGGATTCTCCAGGCAAGAACACTAGAGTGGGCTGCCATTTCCTTCTCCAATGCATGAAAGGAAAAGTGAAAGAGAAGTCACTCAATTGTGTCTGACTCTTAGCGACCCCATGGACTGCAGCCTACCAGGCTCCTCCGTCCATGGGATTTTCCAGGCAAGAGTACTGGAGTGGGGTGCCATTGCCTTCTCCCTCTTTGTGCTGGTCTATGGAATTTTTGCTTTAACGATGAGTAAGGGGGAGCCCCAAGAGTATTTTACAGAGCAGAATGATTGATTTGATCAGAAATGTGTTTTGTAAGGCAGGCTGGCAGTCATGTAACCACATAGATGATGAATTGTAGAGTCGAGTCTGGAGTCAGGTAGACAGATTTGGAGGCAGTTGCAGTGTCTAAGAGATAGCGTTCTTATTATATGATTTCATTTATATGCTGTGTCCAGAAGAGGCAGGTTCATAGAGACAGAAAGTAGACCAATGGTTGCCAAGGGCTGGGGTTGGGTAATGGGAAATTACGACTAATGGGTACAGGTTTTCCTTTTGGGGTGATGAAAGTATCATTAGATGGTAATAATTGTGCGACTTTGTGAATATACTTAAAAACCCACTGAATTGTATGTTTTTAAGTGGTGAATCTGGTGGCTTGTCAATTATCGCAGAGAGAAAAAGAGGAAGAGTTCCTGAAATAAGCAGGAATAGTGAGCATAAAGAAAGCGAGATGGGTTAGAGGGAAACTCAACCCAAGAGTTGACAGCTTGGGTTGTCAAGTCAACCCAAGAGTTTGTCAAGAATTGACAGGAGAGTGAACATTAGCGATGCTCACAGTGAAATAGGGGCCAGCCCTGCAATTTCTAATTTGTATAATTAAACTGATGGGGAAAGAAATTCTGGAAAAAGCAAGTTTGGAGAAACCTACAATGGACAGTGCGAAATGTTTTGAGTATGTTATCAAGTGAGACAGTTGTGCATAAAGGCCCAGATTTCAGGAGACTCTGGGACTAGAAAAAGAAGTGAGTTATGGAGGGGGTGAGGGGGTATAGACTGAAGAGGTCGTCAGGCTGCTGGTGGACAACCCCGTGTCCCCACTCTTTTTGACTCTCTATCCTCCAAGCTGATCTCGAGGGGTGGTGCTGGAACCACTGGTTTTTAAATAAAGCTCAGTCTTTCTGTTATTTTGCAGGCAGAGGCAAGACTGGCAGCAAAACGGGCAGCCCGGGCCGAAGCAAGAGATATCCGCATGAGAGAACTGGAGCGGCAGCAGAAAGAGGTAATTGGGGAAAATAACCCGGATTTTGTGTTATCCCCTCCCCCCCCCCGGCCCAGATCAGTGTGTGGCTAGTTTCCTTCTGAAGTAAACCTGGTTCCTTTTGAAATACTGGGAATAGAGTAACCTGATGTATGTGTTTTAACGAGCCATTCTTTGTCAGCAAGTTAAGTGCAATATTTGTTTGAAATTGTAACAGCAGACACCTATATACCTCTTGTCATAAGTTACTGTTGTGTTATAAGTCCTTGTAATAGCCAAAAAAGGCTTAGAGATGACAGAATTATTTACTGTAGTCCTAAATGTCCTAGAATTTTTACTGTATTATGATAAATACATAGTTAAGCTCTGTGAAATCATACAACCTTATAGTTTGTAAGCATACTTAATAAAGGAGGAAAATATTCATAAAAGAAAATGGAAAAAGAACCCACAATTGTAACACTTTTAGGACTCCAGTCTTGTTTTACAAAAACTAGTATCCATATATAGATCAGAAACTACTGGAAAGAAGTGATTACTCTCAGTACTTTGGTTTATCTATGGTGGGATTATGACTGGTTTTATGTTACACTTTTGCATAGCTAATACATTTCCATCTGTTCTAATTATCAGTGAGAAAAGCAAAAAAAAAAATTTTCTAACTAGACATATAGAAATTGGGCTGCTTTAAAAAGAAAACAAATACTCTTTTTTACTCTTTCCTTCTGACATTGACCTGACTTTGAAAATTTCCATAAAAAACATTGCTGATGTTTTAGTTCAAAGGGGGGATGAAGCTGCAGGGCAATATTAAACACTTTATTTTGGGGTTTGTGGTGAATTTTCTGTTAATGAGTTAAAGAGATGTATATAGAGTCCATATTGTCACAGCTCAAAAACAAAGCCAAAAGCAGTTAATGTATTGCCAGTTTTTTTTTTACCTCATAGCTTCAAATATTGAATGTAGTTCTTGGCTTGAGATGAAATGTTACAATACAATGCGTTGTCTTTCATACTCCTAAAATTGTAGTGAACTGTAAGAATAGAGTTATTAGGTTTAAGTTTTATTTGTAGTTCTCTTAGCTGCAGACTGAACATATTTAGCTTAGTATGTTGCGTATTTTGAATGTGTAACTTTGAATTAACAATCATTGCCTTGCAGGACAAATGTATGTGATTAATTTAAGACTTTCCATAGCAGACAGTATGTTGGAAACTTGAGTTTGTGAAACTTTTGCATTTGTAGCACTCTCATCATTCCTTTGATCGGAAATGGGGACAGATTCAGAAGTGGCTGGTAGGCCAGAATTGCCTGCCCTGCATGTTGTGATCAGTTGCTGAAATATGCAACCTCAAAGTAAAACATTGACTAATCATTTGCCAAGTAGGAGTGTTTGTCATGTTTGAACCTAAAGGTCAGTGAGTGTCTCTTCTGCCTGTAGTGGACCAAATGTGTGCTTGGAGTCCAGCCATTTTTGTTGTAGTTACAGCCTCACGCTCATCTCATAAATGCTCCTGACCAAGAAAGATTGAGTAAATGAATGTGTTTTCACTCTGTGGATCTGTTCTTCTGTCCCTAAAATTTGCCTACCCCTCTCCATCCCACCTTCTCCCCTGCCCCTTTCTTCCTTTCTCTCTTTTTTAAAAAGCTATATCATCAGGTTCTTCGTAGAAAGATGAACCAAATCATTCTTTCATCCCCTCTGAAAATTGCTTTTATTTTGTTGGTTCTCTCAGTTTCCTTTCAAGTCTTACACTGTCACTCCCAAATTTGTTAGCTGCAGGAGCAAATTGCAACCAGTAATGTTTGAGTTACTGTGAGTCATTCCTAAATTTGAGCTTTTTTCAGTGTTGACAAGTGCCCTAGCTGCCTCTGATTGCAGGGGTTCTTAGCTTGGTGTGTGAATAGGTTTGAGGGATGGGGTAAGAACATCTCATGCCAGGTTTTGAGTGTGTGTATGTTTTCATGTGAAATGGCCACAGGGATTTTTATCATCAGATTCTCAAAAGGAGTCTGTGATCCCTAAGAGGTTAAGAACCACTGTTTAATTGCTGCTTAACAAGCAACTTTCATAAGCAAATCCCTTCTAGAATAGCATTTTAAGGTATAACTAGAATTTAAATATTTATGATTGTATTTACCTACAAATTTTAAAGCTTCATCATACTTCTCATTGCGATATTTTAGAAAAGAGAGAAAAAAGATGTTTGGTTACTTAAAAATTAAGCAACTCCTCATGTATGTGTTTGTTATTTTGGAGTGGAATCTGTCCTTTCTTGTTATTAAAGCTAGCTTATTTTTTGATTCAAGTGTCTTCTGCATGTAACTGGCTTAATATTACTGATAATGTCTTAAGAATATTTTTGCATGAGTTAAGAGAAATAATTCTTAATTGCAAAAATGGAAATATTAATTTCTTCTCATAATTATGTATTATAATTCTCAAATTAAATTGCCTAGGATTTTAATATCTTAGGGCAGATCAAAGCATTAAATAAGAAAAGCCTATGTTAAAAGTCTAATATTTAATTCTTACATCAAAAGGAGCAGTTTGGGTTAGGGTTTAAAATGCAGGTGTCCGAGTCTTAAATAATAGGTAGGATTTGGCAGGCAGAGAAGGTGGGGTTTAGTTTCAGATAGAATAATTAACATTCCAACCCCTTCTGGCACTTCTTTCAAACTGATTTTTCCTCTTCTTATCCTTGTCTTTCTGGCTGCTTTCTGTCTATGAACTTATCATAGAAGTTGGCATGTGATTGTCACATGTAAAATATGAATTACTAATAAATTTATAATAAATAATGCATAGACAAACAATTACGTTATCGACTACTAGAAGGAAAAGTCTTCCTATATTAAAAATTTCTCCCAGCCTATATGGGCTTACATTTTATTCTGTAGTTTTCTGAACTCATTAGGTCATTTTTTCCAAATGGTGCTAAAAAGAAAGCTGTGTAAATCTAGAGATACTCCAATACTTACTGGTTGTTATTTAGAGTTATTTTTATAATAGGCATAATTAAGGATAAATATGAATTCATCTGTCTTTGCCGCATGTTTAATGGGATGTACTCTTTAGAGGCAGGTTTTTAAAAGTGCTCCTGTGTGGTAGGTGGAATGAAAAGAAAGGATAGAATAAAGAGAAGACTGAACATTAAACCTTGTCTTGATATGTCACCCTGGTACCCCAAATAACACTAGGAGCGGGCACATGGAATTAACTTAAACTAACAAAGCTAACTAGCCTAGAACTTGTTACCACTTAGTAAGCTGTACCTACCATTCTGGGCTAACACTCATGCCCCCCAAAGTTTTGTGATACATCACCTGATAGTCACAGAGAGGAAAGAAACTTGCTTGGCTTCTCACAGATTACATGTATCTATTACATAACAAAACTGTGAATCAGTGATGAATTCTTAAAGATCAGAACACCATGTTGAATATTGAATTATTGAATCATCCTGATACATATAAACAGACTTCTGAACAGATTTGATCAATTGCATCAATGTACACGACAGATGACAACCAGGCGTTTTTTGGAATTGTATTCAAAGATCATGACCAAAACAAAGCATTAAATTATGGTGTTTCTGTTGAATTACTGTTGCTGGATTCACGATGAATGATCAGCATAGCCATATCTAGTTATTCCATCTGCATGATGATCATGCTGCATTGTCATGGGGTGTTGAAGTTTTGGTGCGTTTTGGGAAAAGCGGTGTCGATTAGCTGTGAACCCAGTTGGCCAGTTGTGTGTAGATTCTTAGTCAATGCGAATTGACACTCCAAACTTTGAAATTCTGAAAGATCAGAAGTTTCTTACAGTTGATAAGGTTCTAAGGACTAGTCATTTAATTTCACATGACTTAGTACTTAATGCCACAGTGGTAATAGCTGAATATGGAAAAAATTAGTATTACTTTTAGTTAATTGGATTTTTTGTGTGTTTTGTTTTCACAGTCTTCATAAGGCATAACTTCTGAAGCAACTTTATCAGCTCTAAAGTATTTACTCAGTTTCCCCTAATTATAAGTAGTTTTTCATATTAACTATACACAGTTAGGGGCTATTTCATTTAGTTGTTCTTTACTTTCCCAGTTAGAGTGGTAAAAGAAAAAAATTTTTTTGCAATGAGCACAAAATTAGAACCCAGACCTTTTTAAAAGAATACATTTTCACCATAAACTACATCTATAATAAACATTTCTTCCTGCCTTGCATAAACTAACCTCATAAATAGATCAAAGTCTGCTTTTAATGCTGACCTCAATTTCTGTTGGTTAAGTATTCTTACTTATTTTTATCTTGGTATATTGTGCTCTCTTGGTCAATATAGAGTACATTCTATAGAGTACAATATATAGAGTACATTCTACAAATGGCCAGACGTACATACACTTGTTCAAATGAAAACATTGCTAAGATGACTTCTACGTCCCTTCCAGCTGAGGGTCGTGACTGCCCCAGCCTCGGCTCTGAGGAAACTCACCTCCGTGCTCAGTTCTGATAGACAGATGCTCCGCGATTAACTGTCCCTGTGCTTTCTCCTCCCCCAGGAAGAGTCGGAAAGGGCCAGGCATTCCCCCAGATCCAGCCATCATCGTCCTTCTCCGGTTTGTAATCACCTGCAGACTTGCCTCTGATACCTTTCCTCAGCAGCTTGCTGCAGTCACTCACACACCTTTACTGTTTGTTTTTATCTTATCAGGGAGTTGAGGATGCACTGTCCATTCGAAGTCTTGGCAGTCACAGGGTTGGTATTTTAAGTTGTTTATACCCTAATAGCAAAGCTATCCCTTTCTAAAAGAAAAAAAGAGAAAATATTGGCAAAGTTCTTTTCATTGGAAAGTGATATTTTCTCTCAAATTATTGCTATAAGTAAATCAATTCTAAAATCATAAATATTTTCATCTATTAACATGTATATTTACTTTTTTTCTATAAAAGGACTTTTGATTTTGGAAAATCATCACAAAATAAGATTGATTTTATAAAATAACACCTGCATGGTTCTAACTTTCAGATTTTTCCTACTTTCAGATTTTTTTAAATGATCATTTTTTAAAATAAAATTTATTATTTGGGGGCATGGGTGACTAATTATAGTTTTATTCAGTGGAAAGATTGAACTTCTGATTTTCAAAATGCCTGTCTTACTGTATTTATAGAAATGATCATGCTTCAATATTTTGATTAATATTTTGTAGTTTGTCTCAAGTTTTTAGTGTACATCATTGTAAATCAAAATAAAATGAGAAATTGCTCATTAAAGGCTTGCATATTGTGCCAAAAAAGCTGATCTCTATTCTTAATGAATTGTGCTTTAAGTCTTAGAGCAACGCTTTTAATTTGCACATTGTTAATATAGTATATATGTGCTTATATCTAGATTTTTTCATCAGTAAAATTCTATTCTTGTTAAGATCTGTATTTGTTAATATCGCCAGGTCTAGTTTTCTTCCTATCTTGTATAATGTTCCTATCTTGTATTTTTTTCCTATCTTGAAAATACACTGTATTAAACTGAGTGTGTTCTGGAATACTAGTTATTGATATGTTTGCATTCTTAAATAGTCTTTTACTCTGGTTATATTTCTTTTTTTTTTTTAATTCACTTACATTCTTAAGACTATATTTTATTTTTTAGATACTTTTCCTTTTGTTAAAATCTGTTGCATATTGGCTGAGTGCAGCTTTTCCCATAAATTTTGCACATGCATATGCACTAAATTGAATGGCAGGCGAGATGATGTTTTCTGAACGTACAGTTGTTCCCAGGAGTGGTTATATTTCTTATTGGTGAATGTAATCTACTGTCTTTTTGAAATAAATTAGTAAGCTAGTACTTGAATCATAAACATTTTGGTTGATTATAAAAGTTTAGATTTATAAGAATATTAAAAAGCCTTTATAGAAATCTAACTAGTGGTTTAAGAATGATTTTAAAGGAAAAGAGCTTTAAGATAATAAATTTGTCATGTTTCTCCCTGGAGAGATTTTGGTGCTTTTTTTTCTCACAGGGAGTTAACAAAAACTTAAAAGTTGAGCTTGGAGGGCTTTGAAAATAATCCCATCTCACCTCTTCTTAAAAAATATATGACTTATTATAATGTTCATAGTGTGAAGTTCACAGTCTTCAGCTGGTTATTTGTAAATTTGCATGGGAAACTTATATATTAGTTTAACCTAATGGTAAAGCCATCCAAGTTCAACCTAATTTGTTTTTAAAACAAATCTGTAAACAAAAAATAAATCTGCAGTTAAATAAGGAATTGTTTACTCAGTGTCTATAAAATGAGATTGATTTTCATTTCATGGAAGTTACATCATTAAATAAATTTAAGATATAACTAGAACTCAGATAGTATTTTATTTCATTATGGTAGTTATGAAAATTTGCTATTATGTAGCAAAAAGTAAAACTCCTAATATTTTTAAAAAGCAGTCTGTGAACTTCAAGATTAGTAAAATTTTCACCTTGTAGAGACTTCAGTTCTACTGTGAGTGTACATTTAGAATATTTAAGTTTTTAGACTTTCTTAGAAATGTCTGATTTGAAATGAAAACTTACTAATAACACAGTATAAAAGAAATATAGTTAAGTTTTTTTCTTTTTTCTAACTTGATAATTTGGGGAGTTTTAAATTTTCATCAGATTATTGCTTTTTAGAATAACTTTACCATCTACATTATACCAAAAATGTAGACACCTTGTGTTCTCTGTAAAAATATATGTTATGGCTTAAAACCCTGACCTAAATTTTATTGGGGTTTGCTGCATTATTTGGGGGTTTGGTATTTCTTTTCCAGTTATTTTTTTAAACTTATGAGCTGTATATTAAAAAGTCTAAGACTTTTGGACCTTGTATTTGGTACATGAACATCAGCAGTACTTGGATATGAGGAAGATGTGTTTATGGTTTTATGCCACATTCTTTGAACTTTGATCTCTCCTTTTGTCCACTTAACTGCTTTCTTTGAAAGGTGTCCTGCCTGAAGCTATGTGGGGCTAGAGATGGTATCAATGCTATAGACATTCTGTATAAAAATAGAGCAGAGATAGTTCAAAATGGTTCAAGATGGTAGGTTTGGGGAAGGAAAATTAAATCAAAGCCCTGCGTTTAGAATTGAAACAGTGTTTCTTTAAAAAGCAATCTACCTTTAAAAAAAAAATCTGACTGACTGCTTGGTCTTGCTTTTATATATTGAAATACAAGAAGACTATAAGGAAGAGATCTGAAATTAGAAAATGAGGTGATCTTGAATCAGAGTGGTAGGGATACATCACAGTTTTCACTGGTGGAGATCTTTACAGTTTTTTATTAGTTCCTATTTATGTATCAGTGGCTTTAGTATAATTTTAATGAATTTAATTTTAATATGCTTGGAATTTTTTATTCTGTCATTTACTCCTACACTGTTTAATTCCGTGGAAGAACCCATCGAAGGACGTTACAGGGACACATTGGAGCCGAGCCCGTACACCCAGAAGTGAAGACCTCATGGCGTGTAGCCCAGAGAAATGTGCAGCGTTAGTACTGTGCATTCACTGTTGACTCACAGCGCCCCGGGGACTTGAGCAATAGATCCATTCCCACAGAAACAAACACTTGCCGAACTTTTGTTTCTGTAGCCTGCTTTTTAATACTTTTTATAATAGCAAGTTTGGAAATATTTTGTTTAGCTAGAGCCTTTAATATTTTCAGCTCTCCCTTCTTTGATGAATCATTTGTCTTTAAACAACTTAAATGATTTTAAATGATTTAAACAACTTAAATACCAACTGTCACATACTGGAGGATCCTTTTTGTTCACCGGGTGTACAACCAGTGGTAGTGATTGGGATGTCCAAGTTGTGGATTTTCCTATCAGATTCAGCAGTTTTTAAAACTGAGGGAATTCCCTGGCGGTCCAGTGGTTAGAACTCCACTCTTCCAATGCTGGGGCCCTGATTCTATCCCTGGTCAAGGAACTAAGATCCTGCAAGCCTCACAGCTCAGCTGAATGAATGGATAAATATAATAAAACTATCTGAGCTCTGCATTATATTTTGGAAAAAGAAAATCAAAATAGATCATTTTCAGTTCAACTTGTTAAATCTTATGCTTTTGCAGAAGATCAGATGTTACAGAGAGGATGAGAACTAAGACTGATTCCTTCAATGAACTTACCTGTTTTGGAGGATGGAATAGTTTATATGCAGGAATGTGTGATTTGAGTAATACATGTTTTGGTCATGGGTTTTTTTTTTTTTTTTAAACAAAAAAGATATTTTGTTAACTGAGAGAAGTCTCAGATGAAACTTTCATAGAGAGGGAACTTTATTTTCAGTGAAATGTAATTCACCACAGTGACTTGACCACACGCATTACTTACCACCAAATGCACACCATTAGGCATTTTAGAAAATTTTGGATAAACAAGATTTTTTTTACACATGGTAGTAACACTTTATATTCTGTTTTCATGATAATATAAGGAAAGTATGCAAATGCAGATATTTTGCTTCAGTACCTGTTAGTATTTATTGCAATATCATTTTCACCGAATTTAATTTTGCCAGTGGTAAAATTACACCACTTAGCCTTATTCTTATGAAATACATTTTGGGGAGTTTCTGCAATATTTTTTGTGAATGATCATCTCATTAAGCATGAATTGAAACCTTTGTTCTGTCTGAAATATTATTTTAATGCTTTATTAGAACTACACTTTTAAATTTTATCATCTAGTGTATTTTAGGCTTTTTAAAATTGCAGCCTGTATGACAGGAATACATTTTACACTATAATCCAATATACATACCCAGAGATGTGCTTGTTTTTGTATGTATAGAAGTATATAAAAAATACAGAAACAAATTTTACAAAAATAATACATACTGTACTCTAGTATTTTGTATTTTCTTAACGTTGGTTGCACCCATAAATTGACTTTATGAACTACTAATGAGTTGCAGTCCACATTTAGAAAAACATTACTTTAGATCAGGTTTCTGAATAGTGTTCCCTAAGATCCTAAATGGGTATAAGAGTTGCAAAAGAAAAATATTTTTACCAAACTACCTGAGGAGCTTATTCATTGCTTTTGCTTTATACATTGCTCTTCTGGGCAAGATTGCTTAAAAAGTCTGACTAGAATGCTTAAAAAATTAGGAAAGCACAAATCTGAGTAGTTAGTTACTATTTAATTTGGTTTCTTGAATTCGACATGTGGCGCTAAACGTATTACTTTCTTAAAGACCCTACAGGGAATATGATTTTTCTGGTCTTGTCATAAATTTTATATCTATTTTCTTTGATTTATATTTCATGCCACTTTTATATGTATGCTATCCATTCCACACTTTGCTCTCACCAAGTTTCTAGCTTTGTTCACTATGTTTCATAGGGAAAGTTCTTGAGAAGGGTTGTTTTCCAAGTGTGTGCATAAGCAGATCCAAGGGAATTCTCCCCATTTTAATGCTGCAGTTGTTTTTTGTCTTTTGGTTTTTTGTTTGTTGCTTTTTTGGTAAGTTTTGTTATACTAGCTATGTGTTCCTGCTTCATTGCTTCTCCATGACTTGCTTTTGCCACGTTTCACATGATGGACAATGATGGTCACAAACCTTTAGGATGCTTAATGCCTGCGTCTGAAGGCTTCCTTGGGTGTTTTGTGCTGTAGTGTACTGGGGTGAATCACCTGAACATTACTGATTATACATTCTGGTTTTGAATGAGAACATGCAGTTTTTCCTGTACATATAGTTTAATAATAACCTATACTAGGAAAGAGTGAGGGGGGAGAGTATTCTTTAATTCAGATGTCACAACTGTTATGTTTAATAATTTGGGGCTTTTAAAGTAGTGCTGGATTTTTCATAACTTTATAAATGTTGCTTTCCTCCCCTTTTATATTTCTGATTTTGCAAATAAAACCAACTTTCACCTTTTCCTGAAATCCAGTATGGTGCTCTTAAGGATAGATCATCAAGACTTCCATCATTAGTACGTATTGCATGACTTTGTGTTAAATATAGTTTCACTTTATAAACAATTGGTGATGCTAATCCTAGATTATGTTTAACTTTTTCACAGGTCTGTTGTTACGTTTGGGGGAAATATATGACTAACAGCAAATTCTAGTGTGCAATTGTGACATGATTTAGCACTTGAATAGCTTTGCCTTTTAGGATCTCAGGATCAGATAAAATTTTTTGCTTTCCTATTCAGGACTAAGATTGGTAGTAGTATCTTTTCTTAAAATGGTGAGTCACCCAGCTGACACATACTCATTCCCTGGAAGACATGCTTCCAGCAGTGTTTTGAGATGTACTGAACTACAGCGTCGTGTTTTACAGCTACACCTGCTATGTTTTATGTTTTGTCTCACAAGCCAGCAGCTGTGAAAGGATTCAGGTGACAACTGAAACATCAGTTCCGTCCACTCATTTTTTGCTTCATTTGGTTTATCTTTGATGGCATGTCATTTTGGCCAAGGAAGTTTACTTGTAGTGTATTTTTCCTGGGTTCATGTGTCCATAGGTTGCCACAGCTCTTATGTTCAGAGTAACAATGTCTAAAAGAAAGATATGCACTTTATTTATTTAGTTTTTTTAAGATAGGCACTTAAAAAAAAAAGGAAAATGAGCCTCTGATTCAGGATCTAGCTGTGCATGTTTCAGGTGATGTGTGCAGAGCAGGCTGTTGATAGCTAGGGCCCTTCTGGCCGCATCTCCTCCTTTCAGACCAAAGGCGCATACCCACATGGACTCCTTACCTGCCGGTTGTCCTTCCTGCTCAGTAGTATTGCTGTCCCCTGTCCCCTCACACGCACTTGGCTCTGACTCCTAGAGGTATGTATTAGACAGTGCTGTCTTCAGAGGACTTGGAGGTCAGGTTATTATCTAATGGCTCTGCTGCTACTTGAGACAGGCCACGCTGTGCAGGCTGCTCTCCGCTGAGCAGCACGCTGTGCAGGCTGCTCTCCGCTGAGCAGCGCGCGCTGTGGCCCAGTAACTCGGGTTAAGAGGACTGTCTCGGGCAGTGCAGTGTTTTCTGTTCTCATCCTGCTTTGCTGGGTACACAAGATTGCTCTTTGGCCTTTAGGTAAGGAGGACTGCAAAAGGAAGTGGCCTGTCTTGTCACTCATACCTTTTTAAGGGAGCAGAGACTCAAATGAGGTGTGGAGTGAAGGTCCCCACTTAGAGCCTAATTAAGTTTTCAGTTGACTCGGCACTGTGATGGACGGCACAGAGGAGATGAGGGGAGCGCTGGGGTGCAGGCAGGCTGTGTGTCTGAGCGTTTCCCGCTCACAGGTGGGGAGTGGACTGCATGCGTGTGGAGTGCTCTGTGTCCCCTGTGGGCATTTTTCTGTGTATGACGTTAAGATGATTTTATTAAATTATCTTAAAACTTCACTATCCAATCTTTAAAGTTAACTTCAATATTTGCTTCTAGAGTCATTCTTACAGTCACTCTTATGGAATGAAGAAGCGATCTTCTGGTTCTCATAAAGACCCACTGGTTAGTTCTGTTGTGTCTCATATCACAGTATTTTGTGTGGTTGTAAAATTCACTGATCCTTTCAGGGAAATTAAAAATTATGACTGCATTGGTGTGCTCTTCAGGCATTATTGAAACCTGATAATATACTGAAACATGACTTATCAGAACCTTATTTTAAAATAATTTTGTTTTCATTTACAAGATTTAATATCAAGTTAACATATGATGGGCTTCCCTGGTAGCTCAGCTGGTAAAGAATCCACCTGCAATGCAGGAGACCTGGTTCTATCCCTTGGTCGGGAAAATCCCCTGGAGAAAGGATAGGATACCCACACCAGTATTCTTGCCTGGAAAATTCCATGGACAGAGGAGCCTGGCAGGCCTAAGTCCTTGGGGTCGCGAAGAGTCGGAAGGGACTGAGCGACTTTCACTTCACTAACGTATGCTAACCCTGGTGGCTAGACTTAGGAAAGTGTCACACTAAGTTCATTAATATTGTATTTTCATCTATGAATTGCGCTTTGGAGGACGGTACCTTAAGAATAGGTTTAGTGAGATTCTTATAACTTATTTTGGAAATTTGAATTGATTTAGTTGTGGTATTGGGCTTCCCTGGTGGCTTAGACGGAATCTGCCTGCAATGTGGGGAGACCTGAATTCGATCCCTGGGTTGGGAAGATCGCCTCGAGGAGGGCATGGCAACCCACTCCAGTATTCTTGCCTGGAGAATTCCTGTGAACAGAGGAGCCTGGTGTGCTGCAATCCATGGGGTGACAAAGAATCGGGCACGACTGAGCGGCTAAGCACAGTTGTGGTATTATAGGCAGTACCAAACTCACATGGAGCTGTCATTCTGAATGATTGTTTTTATAGGTTTGAGATTTGGGGAACTTGAAATTAATTTTCTGATAGAAACAACAAAGTTTATGATGGCAGAATTCCCATGCTGTCTTGCAGAAAATTCTTCAACCTATAGTGTAATTAAACTGTAGGACTGATAGTATTCTCCATTCCAGCCAACTTGCTAAATGGTGTTGCTGTGTGGAGAAAAAAAAATGCCTACAGTGCCCAGTTGGGGTGCAGGGAACATCTCTTCCCTGTCAAGTTGCAACAGCACTGGCAGAGGAAGTGCAGCCCAAGCTCTTTGCTTACTCGGGGCTCCCTTGGGTAGGGCTCTAACCATTGGTGAGGTGGAGAGAGGGGTGGGAATCTTTGGCTGTGGAAATGAGGAAGGAGGCAAGGATGAAATGGGAGGACATTAGTGAGAGGCCCTGGCAGGTGGAGTATTGGGAGCTCTGGGGAGAAGTGAGTCATGGTGCCTCTCAGAGGGTGTGGTGCAGGCGGGTCGGGCAGGGCAGGGTTACGATGGGAGGAGGGGGTGTCCCCTATTGCATTGTCAACAGTGGAGGAGCCGTCTTTCAGTCAGGGATTGCCTGGGCTTCCTTAACCTTGAGCAAAAGAGATGGCTGAAATTTTATAGATGATTCCCCACCCCCCACCCCCCCCACCCCCCACCCCCCCCACCCCCCGTCAAGCAAATCAATAATGTAATTGCTTGGCTTAGCATATTGAAGATGAAACTGCCGTAGATGTTTTAGACCAAACCGTATTTACTGCTCACACTCTTTCTTTGGTAATTTAATTTGATGAGTTTATTTGGACAGATAATGGAATTAGAAGGAGTTTTGAAAAAAAAAATAGCTTTAATGATTTCTGTGATGTTTCTAAATAGGTTATAAAAGTGGTAATTATCCATTCGTCCTGGGTTTTTCAAGGATATTCCTAAGTGTGACATGAGAATAATTCACTTACTATTTCCTTTCTATTTTATCTGAGGATTTATATTCTTTTTAAAGTAAAAAAAAAAAAAAATAGCAATGATTTGGTTTGAAAAGTTAACCTTTAATATTAGTCTTTTTTGAAAGACTTGAAATAGCTGTTATTTTGACTTTGACTTAATATAATTCCAAGGGGCTTGGCAATATCCAGTTTTGTCATTGTTGTTAGGTTAATAGCATTTAACCTAAGAAAAATGTGTTTAATTTTGCTTTTTGCAGAGTGGCCTCTACTTTGACCAAAGAAACTATAGCAGTCTTAGACATAGCAAACCCACCACTGCCTACTGTTCTCGGGTTTGTCACAAGGTTTTTTTGGCTTCATGTGTTTTATCCAGCTTTAACACATTTCTAATCCCCTGTTTTGCATTTTGAGTAGTTAGGACTAATCTGTGAATGGCTGTGTTTGTACAGGTTTGTGATAACTGAATTCACATTGTCTGTGTGAGTGTATCTTTAAATGATGGTAAATGTTGAATCACCATGTTTATTAATGAGTACCATTTTTTCCAGTTTTTTAAGTGTAAAGTATTTAACATTTACAAAAAAGTTCAAAGAATTGTCTGGTAACCACCCACACACCTATACTCAGATTTGACAATTGACATTTTTACTATATTTCCTTTATCATGTAATTATGTCTGTCCCACCGTGTTTCCATCAGCCCATCTTTTAGGGAAGGACACATTTCAAAATAAGTTGTACACATCAGTACATATCACAGTGTATGTCCTTTTACTAAATAAAAATGTACATGTGGAAATACAAACTATAAGTGTGATGAGAGGGAATTCCCTGGTGGTCCAGTGGTTAGGACTCAGCGCGTCCACTGCCAGGGCCTGAGTTCAGTCCCTGGTTGGGGAACTAAGATCCCACAAGCTGAGCAGCACAACCAAAAAAATATGTGATGAGAAGAATGTAATTATGTAATGTGAGAATCTCTTGTTCTTTCAAGGCATTTGGCACATCATACATTTAGAACATATTAAATATATGGCACACAGTACATTTAAAATAATTCAATTGTTAAAACCTGCACACATGATTTAGTCTTATTTTCCATGTCTGATTGGGCTTAGTGAAAAAGAACTGAAAATGTATTGAGATGACATCAGGAAAAAAGATTTAATTCCTTTTTAAATAATGCTGTGCCTTGTTTAATGCATGGATTCACTGTGACCAGTATAAATTATCTAATTAAACTAAGGCACTTTGCCCATGGCTTGTTCTGAAATATAGGTTTCCTAATCCATTTGGAAAAGAGTGTTTATAGCAATAACTCAGAGCTCATTTACCTGACTTCCCAGTAATCAGGATAAGCCCATTCGATGTCACAGGAGCTTCTGGTAACTGCTGCGAGGTGGCCACGGTATGCGACACTCCCTGTGCCAGGCCCTTGTTCCCAGAACATTTTCTTAGGTGGCCCTCTCATCTCCTGACTTTAATGTTCAAAGACCAGTAGGACTTAAGACACATTTATAGAAAACTGTTCCAAGTGTTTTTCTTTCTGAGCCCTTAGAATTGAGAGTCAAAGAGATGTCTAATGGTTAAGTTTTTCTCACTGTGTGTCACTTAACTGCCTTAAACGCTTAGGAATCACTAATGAATTACAGAATATAAAGTAGACATAGGCTTTCTGCCTTCACGATTGTGAGACCAGTTCTCCTTTCTTTTCTTGCTTGTGTTTTGTTTTTGTTTCTCAGCAGTCTTCCTCCTTGTACAGCGACCCTCTGGCAACATCCAAGAGCTACAGGGTTAGTACTTCCTGAGGAGTGTGATGCCTGCAGACCTGCTGGTTACGTTCCTTTGGGTTAAATCATGCGCTTTCTCCATAGGCCTCCTCCACTGTAAATTCTGGTCTGCTGAGAAGTGCCAGTCTGGTTTGTATTTTCCACTTCCAACGTGTGTACTCTAGGCGGAACCATTGTCATGGTGCTGGCTCTAGCTTGACATCTTTCCTCCAAAATAGTCACTAAAGCACGTGGCTTTAGTGCTGTGTGTACCGCAAAATGTGCTGCCTCTGCTTAAAGTACAAAACTTCCAGGGAGTAAAAATGAGCGTGTTCTCCTCACAGTGGTAGATAGAGCTGGCTGTTGGTGGGCCCTTGCCTAGAATTGGCTTCCTCTAGACGAGGTGGATTTGCATGGGTTCCACTCCACTCGCATACTTGTGTGAGATGGCTGCCTAGGCATGGGATGTCATATTTTGCAGGGGAACAGCTGTGGCCTTGGCCACGTCAATACTTGGCTCTAATGAAGCCAGCTGACTCGAAAGCCAAAAGAACCGCTCTGTGTAATGTGCGATCATGAGTTGGTTGCTTTCAGGCTGTTGGTTTCGTTGTGGCCTCTTCTAGTGACCGGGAACCTGAGGCTTTGTGCTTGATTTTATCGTGACAGTGGGCAAAGCTTTCTGTACCTCACTTTCTTATCTGTTTTCTTCCCTCTTTTGAAAGAATAAATTGGTAAATGTTCTCCTAATTTCATAACATGATGATGAAAGGCAATGCTGTAACCAGTGGTGCTTTTTGAAATGAAGTGTGATCCTGAAGCTTTACTGAGGCTGACGCAGGAATTTATGCAGACATAAATGAGTGTTATCACCTTAGGGGGCTGTACACTTAAACATTATTCTTCAGCTTTTTTGGAGCTGAGTACTTTGAAGAAGTTAATCATTTTCAAAATAACTCTGACGCCGAATGTCTAAGTGGTATTCGCTTTGTTCTTCAGGTATCACTGTATAACGGTGGATTATATAACCCTTACGGTTCTCGAGCTGTAAGTCCAAGCAGCGGGTGGTGGTGAGGAGGGCGATGTGGAGGTGGGCACAGTTTACTTACAGAGAGAAAAGCCATTTAATCTGACCTGTAATAACTCTCCACGCTGTGACCCATCAGCTTGTCAACTGCGACTCCCCCAAGCTGTGAGAGAGCGCCCGCTGCAAACCGAGGCTTCAAGTGTGAAGGCAGTACAAGCAGAGAAACCGCTTTTCTGGCTCATTAGTTCCTCGGGGAGAGGATGAGAATAGCGCTTCTCGGGCACCCCTTTGTTCTCTGCTTGCTCTTGCCGTGGGCAGCTGGGTCATGAGGGCAGGAGTGCAGTAGGGCTCCAGCCGGGGTAGTAACAGTTACCTTCACCTGGGAGCCAGGGTGAGGCAGGTCCAGGGGCACTGATGTCCTCCCAGTGGGAAAAGGAGCTGATCGTTATTGTAAAACCTGTCTTCTTGGAAACTTTGTAGCCATCTGAATACAGTTTTCACTCATCGAGAGCAAGTTCATCCCGAAGCAGTCCTGTGGTGAGCTGCCTGGTCTCTCTGCATGTCCTGTAGACACTTCTGATTGGTTCATTAATCTGCACTCACAGTTCAGAATATTAAGGGTGCAGTGTGTCTCACCCTGTTGTGCATGGATTGCCATTTTCCTTCAGCACACAAACTCAAGAACTAATTTGTCTGAATTGGTGGTTTCTGTATGAATGTGACTTAGCACATAATTCTTAAATGATTCTGAAGCTAGTGCCATTAGAATTCTCTTTTATTTGTAATTCTCATTTGGAAATTCTTGGTTTTTTTTCCCAGTGGGGGTAATTCAGGGTGTGAATTGGCTGCCCTATCCTTTTTCTTTCTCCTTTTCATCTCTACTTTCTACATTGAACCATTCCACTTGCTTCCTAGCCCTTCAATCAGTGAAGTGAAAGAAGAAATGAAATACGTCAACTTTAAAAAATTGCTACATAAAACACAAAACTGGGGCAATTCTAATTACCCAGTCTTTCTAGAGTATTAAAACTTGCTTTAAATTTATAAACATAATATTAGCTTAAGGAAAGTACAAAGTAAAAGTCCTCTGACTTTTCTCCTGTTTCTGTCCCCTAAATGCAACCTTGGTTTGTGTATATCCTTTCAGAGATACTTTATGTCTGTACGAGTGTCCTTTGTTTGAACAGTATGCAAATAATTCGTGTACATAATGCTGCTTAACTTGTTTTCTTTACTCAGTGTCTTTTTCAAATCAGTATATAAAGATTTATTTTATTCTTTTTTTTTGGCATTTAAAAGATTTTAAAAAGTATGTCATGTCCCTTTCTATTTCCACTGAGTGCCTCTTGGCGATTAGTTTTATGTCAGCACATTTTTTTTTAATGGCAGTGTATCAGCATTCTGTTAGTGCTGGGGCTGTACATTTGAAAAATTGCTCCTGTTTTGATGAGCTTTTAGGTTGTCAGATTTTTGCTACAACAGATACTTGTACAGTGAACATGCTTATACAAGTATATTATGAGTAGATCTGCATGGTAAGTTGCTAATCATGAAATGATGGGAACCAGCGTATGTACATTTTAAGTTATGTATATCACCATATTACTCACCAAAAAGACTGTACTAATTACTATTTTTAATAGCAAATTATGACTTTTTTAGGAACTACCTTATTATTCTTGATGATATTAAAATGGGAGAAATTATTAAGCAGTTTCTTAAAGGTCAGCACAGGTTACTTTGTGGAATAGAATAGACAAGTTATATGGACTTTCCTCTATGTAGATGTTTGACTCATTTCTCCTGCCAAGTGTCATTTCCAAGTGACATTTCCAAGTGACATTTATCAAGGATTCCACTGTTACAGTTAGTAAAAAGTTATTACAGGGATGTTTAAGGAGATGCAAGGTTTTTCACAGGAGGAAGTTTATTTTTAACCCACCTGGTAATAAAATTCCACTTTGCAACTCTTGAGCCTGATGGCATTTTTAGTGTCCCAGCTGTGATCGTCCCTTGCAAAAAAACAAAAAAATTTATGGTAATGTTTTTAGTCAAGTGTAGAATCTTGTCCTTGTGTGCTGGCTAAATGTTATCTCATTTGCAAGTTGGGACTCAGAGTTATTACCCCAGTGATGCCAGAATGGCTCCTCAGTGACGTCATAATAGGGGCAGCCTCCACATACTGAAGGTGCATCTTCCACTGCTGATGAAAGAGGGCAGGGACTGTGCAGTAATGTTAGAAATACCTGCATGTGCTGCACGGGAGTGAATAAAGGACAACAGGAATCATCATTTCAGTGTCTTTGGTGGTAGGAAATTCTGTGTTTGACATATTGTTTCATTTGAGGAGATTATTTTCCTCTCCCCAACTAAAAGGGTATTTATTGACTTAATGAATTATAAGATTATAATTCATTGTAATCAGGGGATCCCAGAGGGCCTAGAGGTTTAAAAAGCATGAGGTCCCTAGCAAGTATTGGCTAGTAGTCATGCTTCACCCCCCTTTTTCTTTAACTTAAAAGCTAAAGTAAATACTATTTTAATCTTTGTGCTTTTTGGAACTACCTTTTGGTTTTTGGTGATTATTCAGTATGCCTCAAAACAGTTTTTTGGTTTAATGGTGCACAGTAGTGGTGCTAATTAGAATCAATACTCATAGAGAGCATTTGCGTGCTTCCCAAAGCCTGCCTTCCTGTGCTTATGGTCACGGGAAGACCTATAGTGAAACTACATCTTTGTCATTATCTGCTTTTAATATCCATAGTTTATCGACGATGACACTGCAAGCATTGCATCTTCTGGTTGTGCCAGCCGTGGGCGAAGGGACAGCGTGGTGAGCGTGTTTTGCATGCAAACACATCTAATGTTTTAAAATTGCAACACTGTGTGATCATATGAAATCTATTGCAAAATGAAATTTTCACTTGACGAAATGAGTATTTTCTTCCAGTTTAGTTTATATGAATAATTTACATTCAGAAATGTATTCCTGAGAATACATTTTCTCAGTGGGCTGTGTAAGCTTTCCTAATGACACCTCTTATGTGCTAGTCATTATGTATTTGACAGATTTTCACTTTTTATTCTTTGTTGCTGTTTTATGCACATGCATGTATATGCACAGTTCACCAAAAACAAAAAAATTCTCAAATAAGATTAATGTTTCCACATTCTTTAAAACTCATTACTATGGATTAGAAATCATGCTGCCATTAATTAGTAGTTTTCTTCGCTATGTATTTAACTATTGTTTATATATCTTTTAAGACCTGTGAATTTTTTGAGTTGCTGATGGCAAAATTTAAAAATATTGTCTTAGAATTCAAGTAGAGTTACAATTGTAAAGGTAAGAAACAGCTATGTTAGAATATAAATTATATGATTTCAGGTTTTTTTTTTTTATGAAGTAAGGAATTTTACAGAGAGCTGATGACATTTTTGCTATATTAAGAACTGATTCGAAAATTACATTGAGGAGAATGGTGTATCAGCTTAGAGCTAGAAGAAAAAAAGAGAGCCCAATAACTGAGAGGCTATAGAGGCTATAATTCCTTTAAGAAATTAGAAGGCCGTTTACTTTGAGTCATGTTTTGTGAAAGATTGTAAACCCAAATTTTTCATAGAAAAGGGGAACAGCGAGAGTTTGTGAGCTTTGTTGCCAGAAATACAGTGATTGAACTAAGCCAGTTTTGGTTCCTTGGCAAGCCAGGTAATGCTCATAACCACAGCTGAAGAAGAAAGAACAGTCCCCAACGCCCGAAAACGCCCTGGAAGGTGACGGAGTGGGAAGGGCAGGGGCTTGTACTGTTGCTGCAGCCCATTAGTTGTATTAACAGCGATTTATTCACTTATTATTTTTATTTCTTTCTTTATTTCTTTAATGAGCATGTAATGACTATCTTTGTAGGTAGGCTTAATATATGGAGTAAATGAACTATCGAAATTCTGAGATAGTGGGTACCTTTATAGTATTATTATATGTAAATTTAAGTTGCGTTACTGTAAACAAGCATACTACTGCTTGATCGTCTCAGCTCTTCATAAAACTTCATATTTGTAAGCCTTAAAGGAAGCATCTGTGTGGATGGGCTTCCAGATTCCTTTCTGGAAGAGAAGAGTTTTTGAGCAAGGTAATCAGACAGAGTTGAAGTAAGCAGTAGCTGATGAGTGAGGTAACAAATGTTCATTGTTTTTTAATTCAACAAATGCTTATGGAGTGAGTACCAGTTATATGTGAGGCAGCGTTCAGTGCTGGGAATGCTGTGGTATGCCACATGGGCCAGATTGCTGACTTTATGGAGCTTACATCCTAATGAAAGAATTAGGAAAAAGACTGGTAAAGGAAGAAACAAAAAGAGAAAGTAAACCCAGGGACTGTGAAGAGAAAAAGCAGGTGATGTGATAGAGGACATTGAGTGGAATGTGTGTCACTTCGGGATGGGGTGATCAGAGAAGGTGTCTCCAAGGGAGGTGACCTTTGAGCTGAGAGTTCTTAGGCCAGTGCCAACAGCTAAGGTGAGAAGAGACTGTTGTGTTTAGGGAACAAGAAAGAGGCCAGTGTAGTTCCTTCATTGTTTGTTCTACAGTTCCTGGTCCTGAGAAATATGAAAAAGGGGAAACTGGAAACTTGGTAAAAGGCACAATAAATACTCTGCAGGTAATTCTGCATTCAGCATATATGTGCTTAACCGAGTTGATAGCTATAATGCATTATACATTTGTGGCATATAGTAGCGGCTTTAGGTAAATGCTATCCTAGAATCCCTCGTGGTGAGGGTGATGCTCCTCTTCAGTCAGTAGATGATGATCTCTGTAGCATAGAATTCTAGCTAAAATTAATAAGAGTTTATTTTAGGGAGCTGTGATGTCATTTTGGAACTTACCTACTTGAGTAGGTAATCACAGCACTTTCCTCATTTCATTTCATGATACTTTATCACACAAAAAGAAAAAAAAGTTTTCCCCCATATGACAATGTTCTTATCGTTTTCTTCTCTCTCTCCTTAATTTTAAAGCATCTCATTTTTTTCTAACTGAAAGGTTTCTGCTGCTGATTATTTTAGTCGCTCCAATCGTAGGGGGAGCGTTGTCTCCGACGTGGATGACGTGAGCATCCCAGATCTGACCAGCGTGAGTGCAGCGCATGGGGACCCACTGTCTCAGGCTTGTGACTAACAGCTGTTTTAAAATCAGAATTTAATTTATTTGAGTACACTAGCATTAAATAGTTTTTTGTTTTGTTTCAAAATGTATACATTGATATGTTTTTATTTTTTAAAACAGTTTTTCCTATGGAAGTTTTCTAGGAGCAGCCCGAACACTTACTGATATTTTGCCAATTTTGTTTCATATATTTCTTCCTCTTTCCCTTCTTTTTTTCCCTGAATTATTTTAAAGCAAATCCCATACATCATGCTATTTCCAAATAGTTCAGTGTGCCTCCTTAGTTAAGAACTTTTTTCTTATTTATTGTATCAGACCTAATGAAAGGATGAAAAAACTCCTTAAAACCATTTAATATCTTTCCAATATTTAGATATTCCTGATGGGTCTTAAAATTTTTCTTGCCTTTTCATTTTGGTGAATCTATAAATTTTTAGGTGGACTTTGACAGTTGAACAATAAAATACACTACTTAGTAAAATGTCACTAATTTATCATAACTGGGAAGAATCCGAATAGATTTGAACATTTGGGTTATGGCATTGTTTTTGAAGAAATGCCTGTCCGTTGCTTTCACATTCATTATGTGTGCTTTCTGCTCAGTCATGTCCAACTCTTTGCGACCCCATGGACTGTAGCCTGTTAGGCTCCTCTGTCCATGGAATTCTCCAGCAAGAATACTAGACTGGATTACCGTTTCCTCCTCCAGGGGATCTTCCCAATCAGGGATCGAAGCGTGTTTCCTGAATCCCCTGCATTAGCAGGCAGATTCTTTTACCACTGGGCCACCTGGGAAGCCCTCACATTCATTGGGAACTGCATTTAGGAAAGAGTGTCCAGTAGAAATGCCTGGAGGCATTTACCTTAATGAAGGAGCCCACAGCAGCAGATATCTACCTGCCTGGTGTATCTAACAGCCTGATTTTCTGTCTGTGACACCTTCTCTCTGTTGCTGACATTAGCATTGTTTTTGTGTTGTTTTGCCCTTGAACCAACAGCTGCTCTAGTTATCAACTCTCTGAATCAGATGAGGCCGAGTTTCTTAACAAAAAATTAGACACTTTTTTAAAATGAAGAGATAGTTATTTATATTTAGCACATCACAGATTGTATTTAAATAGCTACTTGGGAATGACTAATCCTAGAAAACAATTCTAAGTGTGGTCCTCAAGTATTCCAGATGGTTGGCTCTCAAAGCTGGCTGAGCAACAGCCCCCGTCTTGGCTTTCATCAGATCAAGGAATCTCTCTGCACCCAAGTTAAAAGACTGGCTCCCAGGTCCTTCCCCTGAAATATTGCCTGTTTCATTAATTTGCTTATTAACCTGTTTTTTCATAGATATACTAAATTTAATTTATTATGTACACCCTTCCTCTTAAAAACTTTGAATCGTTTAGCACCTAATATGATGTCTGAATTACTGGTTATATCCTCCTTACGTTTATTTCTTTGCAGTTTATTTTAGTAGCTATACAGAAGTGAAAAGATTGACTTTATTTTTAAAGTCTTCCACTGCTGCTTCTAATTAAATGAAACTCTTCTCCCAGTAATTATTTTGATTTATCTACACATTTTAATAAAAATTTTACATATTTAAGATATATAACTAGTGATTTGGATTTGATACACATGTATATAGGCTTCTTATTGTTAATTTAGTTGCTAAGTCATGTCCAACTGTTTTGCAACCCCATGGACTGTAGCCTGCCAGGCTCCTCCGTCCATGGGATTTCCCAGGCAAGAATACTGGAGTGGGTTTCCATTTTCCTCTCTAGGGGGTCTTCCCGATCCAGGGACAGAACCCACATCTCCTGCATTGGCAAGTGGATTCTTTACCACTGAGCCACCAGGGAAGCCCCCTTATAGGCTATGCATATGTATATCAAATCATGCTATGCACCTTATAACATAAGCACAAAGTTGTCCAGAGCGTTAGCTGGTAAACTTGGCCAGCACCCTGTTTTATAGCCTATGAGCCGAAGTGATTTTTTTTTTCCTGAATGGTTGTCTAAGTACCTATGTAATATCCTTAATTTTGCCTCTCGGCACAGCCTAAAATACATGTATATGTTGGTCTCCTCTCTAGAGCAAAAAAAAAAAAAAATTGTCTAATATTATTTCCTCTAAAGGTTATACTGTAATTCAGTTCATTATAAACAAAAAGTGGACTTGATGTTGGTAAGATCTCCACCCTTCACTCCCTCACACATAGGCTTTTTAAAAGGATAAGCTGAAATCTGCATTTTTCTGTGAAATATCTCGGGTTTTTTTTTAAGTAGTGACGTATTCACTTTTATTCAGCAAGCAAATGAATATTTTTTTCAGTCTGGGCATTTTCGGGACAGCTTAATTTGGCATGAAGCAATGATCTATAAAGGAATTTTCTTATTAAATATGATCCTGTGACGTTTGGAACAAATTCCTCATTAATGCCTATAGGGACTACATATTATACTAAATACAGTTTAAAAAAGATTTACTGAGGTGCTGGGAGAGGGACAGGAAGACCTAAACCAGTTTAATATTGCTCAGAAAATGTGAGAAACAAAGGACAAACTAATATTTACCACTTGTTCTGAAAAAAGAATCCTTGTGAAATATCTCAATTTTAAAATGCTAACAGTGAATTAAAAATTTCAAAGGATAGCTTCTGGCTTCCCCATTGTGGATCAACATATGCGTAACAGTCTGCTAGTTTATAACATCTCAGCTCGAAGGTGCTGGAAAAGGTGCCAGGCCCTGTTTTGGCAGGACTCTGGTCACAGTGTGGTTGCTTTTGCCTCTTGTCTTGTCTTCTGCACTGTTTCCCTTTCTGTCCCTTGGGTTGGGCTAGAATAAAGGAGAAGAATGTAAATGGGCTTAACTGTAGTTTTACTGATTACTAATGATTAAACTATTTCTGAATGGACTCCTCAGCTAGTTTTGCTTTAGGAGATTACTAATTGTTCCCTTCCCTTCTATGGTTGCTTCCCTTGTGGCTCAGACAGTGAGGAATCTGTCTGCAAGGCGGGACACCCGGGTTCAATCCCTGTGTTGGGAAGATCCCCTGGAGAAGGAAATGGCAACCCACTCCAGTATTCTTGCCTGGAGAATCCCCACGAACAGAGGAGACTGGCAGGCTACAGTCCATAGGGTTGCAAAGAGCAGGACATGACTGAGCAACTCACACTTACTCTTCTATGGTTGGGGAGTCAGATCTTCTGTTTTTTAGGGTTTTCTCCAAATAGAATTTTTAAATAATATTATCAAGTCAGTATATACATATAAATTAGAAGTTAACAAAGGATTAGACTCCAGTGACTGCTTTAAGCCAAGAAAAGTGAAAGTCGCTCAGTTGTGTCCGACTCTTTGCTACCTCATGGACTATACAGTCCATGGAATTCTCCAGGCCAGAATACCGGAGTGGGTTGCCTTTCCCTTCTCCAGGGGATCTTCCCAACCCAGGGATAGAACCCGGGTCTCCCGCATTGCAGGCGGATTCTTTACCAGCTGAGCCACCGGGGAAGCCTAAGCAAGCTATACTATAAATACTTCACTAGATGATAATTTTATACCTTATACCTTAGAAAATAAAGTTTGTTCAAATGGCTTAATATAATACTCTTATCTCTTGGTCACACATTATACTAGATTTATGTTATGGGTGACAGAATGGTTGCTGCTTGCTGAAAGTGGCTCTCCATATCAGATACGCATAGCTCAGTTATATCAAATTTCCAGTGTCCTTTTAAAAAAGAAATATAATTTGGAACAAAATGCATCTTTATTTCTAAACAATTAGATTAAATTATATTATTATTAAAATATATTATTATGTATATTGTATGTATGTATACATGTATATATACATGTATATATGTATGTATGTATTATAAGGTATGTTATTATTAAAATGTATTATTAAAATTATTCATAACTAAAATTCTGTTTCCATTCAAAAAGATTCAGTTATGTTTTACCATTTTAGGAGGACAGAATTATCCGTTACTCATATGCTGAAACAAGGTCAATGGGCCTCTTCATCTGAGAATAAGAAATACCTTTCTTTGAAACAGAGGGTTTCAAAGATTTGACAAGATATATATTCTAAGAAATATTTTTTCGTGTGCTAATTTCAACAAATAATCATGGAGTTTAGACTTAAAGAGAAACAATCTGTGTTCTAGGATGTTAAGAGCAAAGTATTTCAGATTTCCCAGACATAGATAAGGTAAAGGCATTTATCACTGAAATAAAGAAAAGATGACAGTTGACACTATGTTTACTAGTTGATAATTTGAAATTCTTGAAAGAAGCAATGAAGTTTGCCATCATGTGTTCTTTGCAGATTAATACAAATGTAAAATATTACAAGCCTGTTAGCTAGCTTTCCACTTCCAACTATCAAGGAAACCCTTTTCTTGATTGGAAAATTACGTATTTAATTATTTGGGAATGCAATGACACATAACATGTACTTGAAAATTTTTGAGACTAAGTAAGCTGTCATCAGTATTCATAAGCAAGTTCTGAGGTCTTTACTAATGATTTATTTTCAGTATTATTTTCGATCTCAGATTAATTTGCTTGTTTTACAAAATTGTGACCATATAGTATTATACATAGAGCCTTTGTTTTCTGATTTTTCATATTACTACATATTCATTTTTTGCGTGTTATTCATAAACAATTTTTGAAAAGTCACCTATAGTCACCATATTTTACATTAGATCCTCAGACTTTGTTTATCTTACAGCTGAAAGTTTGTACCCTTTTACCAGCAGCATTTCCTTCTTTTATACCTTAGCATATTAAATATGATTCCATTTTATTCCGTTTAAGATCCTTTCCAGGATCTGGTGGAGCCTTTGGGTCATCATTTTGAACACTAGCTTCTTGGTGCAGTGCAGCTATGTAGAGCTCCTGGGGCATTTAGAATACCAGGTTTCAGCTAGCTTTTTGTCTAAAGGGAAGGCGGCACATAATGTAGCACGGGAGGCGAATTGGGGAGTCTCTGGCCAGGTCCCTGCAGCCAAAATAACTGGGCTGCGGTGGGGCTGGCCTCAGCGCTTCTGCTGCCGCCACCGTCCTGAAGTTTGGCACGTGATCAGCCTGGGCTGCGGCAGTTCTGTCAGAGGGTAGTGACAGCAGGAGAATCATTCCTGTGGTCGACTAGGTCACTGATACATCCTCTGGATTGTAAGATTTCTCTCAGGTGACTGCCTGTTAAAAAGTGGGTGGGTTGGGGGTCATTTGTGTGAGAGTGAATTAAGGGACAGAATTTCAGATGGGCCTGGAAGGTTGCTTCTGAATGCTGCCTGTTTTTCTCTTTACTCACTAGGAGAAGAGAGTTGAAAGGTACTCTAAGGAGAATAAGGCAGTCTGTTTAGATGTAGTGTATCTTTTGTTCTGAGGAATAACATGTTAAAATATTAAGCAATATATTTTTACTAGTATAGATATGAGGAAGGTAATTCCTCCTTATGGCAGTATTTGCCAACATGAAAAACTACTGTTATTGCTTGTTTGTTTTAAGACATTTCATATGTGGTTTAAGAAGTCAAAGTGAAGTAATGTCCATTCTTTTTTAAGAGTATTGTAGTAAGAAGCAGCAAAAAGAATTCAAAGTCTAAGGCAGGATTTATGTTCTGATTTAGTACTTATAGAAAAAGGTGTTTACTGAGATAGAAAATGAACATGATAAATGTGAGTAATAAAAAAAAGGAAAACTTTCAAATATGAGGAAGTTAGAGTGAAGTGATCTGAACTGAGCCAGAAATAATGATATTTTGTGTTTTAATAATTAACTGAGGACAGTTTGCAAATCTCTGCTCTAGATTGGGTTGGAAGGATGATTGGTCTAGAAGTTGGGGTCCAGGTATATTTTCATTTAGTTAAATCTCTGTGTGTTTTTCTCCCTAGTGGTAATTGGGACAGTATATACAGGTTAATAATATGAACAGTTGACGAAACTAAGATCTGGATCCTGCTCTGGCATTTAGTTGTTGTTCATCCTTCAGCAAGATCTGAAATTTCTCTGTCCTCAGCTGTAAAGTCAGAGTTTTAGGCGAGACCTTTAAGGTACTTCTCTTCTTGAAACACGGACTGAAACAACCGTAAGGCCTGTCTGAGAGAAAGGATAACTAGTATGGTATGTCCAGACAGTAGGGTACTATGCAGCTGTTAAAGGAGGTCAGTCTGTAGGTGCAGAAGGAGGATAGTTCGTTTTTTCATTCATCTGACAAGGTTTTAGTTCTTCTGTATGCCAGGTGCTATTCTTGGTGTTAGGAATACAGAAAAGAATATACAGACATGAAGTTTACATTAAAGAGAGAGATCAGATAATAAATAGATTAATAAGTATCATGGGAGTGATAAATGCCATGAAGAAAAATACTTTCTCTAATCTCTGAAACATGGTGAGGGAAAAAAGACTATATGGGATGTCTTTGGGACACCACTGTTAGAATTTTGTAAAGACTTGGGAGTAGACTGCCCTTGAGGGTAGCACATACCCTTTGTGCTGTTTGATTTTTTTTCTCTTTTTAGATATGTGCATGTATTAGTTAAAAAGCAAAAACGAAAACCATACAAGCAAATCCTTGGGCTGTGGAGAAATTTTTTTGAGGATGCATTTAACATGCTGTAGTTCAGTCTGAACTTTTTTGGCTAAGTGCGCTAGCCTTATCTATGTGTCCTGTGTGCTAATAATGTAATAAAGTTTGTTGGCTTTTGGTTTTATCACACTTTTTCTTCTTCCATGTATGAGTATTTTTGTGTGTGTGTAACTTTTGCAATGCTAGAGTTTACATTTATATGCAGTTTTCTTTGTTTCAAATACCATGAAAAGAAAAATCTATGCGAAAGTTCTAACTTTTTTCGTAAGGATAGCATGCTTACTCTGTCTTCCTTGAATAAGAATTGAAGTTAACATCTTGTCTTCTGTGTCCCAACTTTTATTAAAGTTTTAGTATGTTTACTTTTAGGATCCAATATCAGTTGAGCTTGGAGAACTCAAATGGTGTCACTTCTTTTTTTCTTCCCCCTTAAAAAAATCAAAGTGCTCAACATCTTTTCTGATTTTTATCTCTGTTCTTTTCTAGTTGGATGAAAAATCTGATAAACAGTATGCTGAAAATTACACAAGGGTGAGTATATAAATTCCTAAGGAAATTAAGTTCTTGAGGTCACCAGCTTACTTTCTACTACTATTTTATTCTTGATTTTACAACAGTTTAACTGATGGAGTTACTCTTCCTTTCTTCATCTACTTCCTGTCCTTGACCCCCAAATTCCTCTGCAGTTGAATCATGTGAAGCCCTGGGAAGAGAAGAGACACTGCATTTTATTTCCTTGCATGTCACCTCTTAAACTTGTGGCTGCTCTTTTGATTTTCATTCCTCTTACAGTATACTAACACATATATATGGAATTTAGAAAGATGGTAACGATAACCCTATGTGCAAAACAGAAAAAGAGACTCCGATGTATAGAACAGACTTGTGGACTATGGGAGAAGGCGAGGGTGGGATGTTTCAAGAGAACAGCATCGAAACACGTATATTATCTAGGGTGAAACAGATCACCAGCCCAGGTTGGGTGCATGAGACAAGTGCTCGGGCCTGGTGCACTGGGAAGACCCAGAGGGATCGGGTGGAGAGGGAGGTGGGAGGGGGGACCGGGATGGGGAATACATGTAGATCCATGGCTAATTCATTTCAGTGTATCACAAAAACCACTGCAATGATGTAAAGTAATTAGCCTCCAACTAATAAAAATAAATGAAAAAAAAAATAGAATTTCATCCTGAGAAGAAACCATTACACACTGGAAGTGGGGAAGGTCTTTAGAAATGGTGGTGACAAACTCTGAAGGTTTTCTTTCTTTTTCCTGTATAGATAAATTATTTCTTTGAAGTGAAATAATTCCTTTTTAGGAGTTGCTTTGTGTTTAAAAAAAAAAAGTCTCTAACTTTCTTCTAGAAACATTTTTAGAAAGTCATCCTAGGAGATTATCTGGATTAATTTTTTGCTATGTCCCCAATGATATGCCAGTTCTGTGCAGTAGAAATATAGTGCAAGCCACAAATGTAAGCCACATGTGAACTTTCTAGCAGTCCCACTAAAATAGTAAAAGGAAGCAGATAAAATTAATTCAAATGATGTATTTTATTTAACCCAAATGTCCAGAATATTTTAAGCATAACCAACATGAGAACTTATCAGTGAGATATTTTACATTCTTTTTTCCACATCAAGACTTCGAAATCTGGTGTGTATTTCACACCTGAAAAAGAATTCTCAATTTGGACCAGTCACACTCCAAGTGCTCAGTCGCCACATGTGGCTAGTTGTCTGCTGAATTAATTGAACATCCCATATCTCTGCTGTTTATTAATCAGGAGCATCATCCTGACAGCGAAATGCTGTTGCTCTCAGCTGCAGACAGTGTCTCCAGCTTTTATCGACGAAGTGTTGGGAAAAGAGAAGGTTCTAAAGAATCAGCTTCAGGAACCTAATGATTAGCATGCCAACATAGCATTCTGAAACTGTTTAAAATCAAACTGCTGTCCTCACCCCAGCGCTGTTTACAGTACAGCAAAGATAAACTTAGAAAACAGACAACTCTTCACACGAACTATTTCTTCTTAGTGGTTATGAATCCTAGATTCCAAAAGAGTGAGCAAACGCAGTAGTGCTGAGTATGCCTGGGCCCATCTCGGGCTAACCCCCCTTCCCCAGCTCCCCACCAAGGCCAATCTAAATTGCTTGTGGACTGCATTCGGTGACTTCTTATCCACGCTGTGTTAGCTCTTCCTGTCACCCTGCCCCGATCTTAGTTTCCACAGCAAATTTATTTTTGAAGAACTAAGACTTAAAAGTGTCGTCTCTCTTTTTCTCTAGCCTTCATCTCGAAATTCTGCCTCAGCAACAACCCCTCTAAGTGGAAACTCATCCAGGCGAGGAAGCGGGGATACCAGCAGCTTAATAGACCCAGACACCTCATTAAGTGAATTGCGGGTAAACCGCCATTTTGGTTTGCTTTTTATAAATATTTTTTATTTTTTACTTCTTTGTAGTATACTGGAACCACTTAACATTTAATGTGATTTGGTAGGAAAGAAAGAAGTATGAGTTCTTTAAAAAAAAAAAAATGTTAATACAGTTCAAGAATGTGACTAGGGTCTGAAAGGAAGATTAGTTAATTCTTTTCTGTTCTCTTTCCTGAACATTTGATGGTATTTGGAATGAGTTCTGCTAGTTTACAAATGCCAAAAAAACTTTCTAATGTATATAAAAGTCATCCTTTCAAATAATTGGCCACATTTTAAATGGAAAATATGTGGATGTACAGGGAACCAGACATTGGGGATTATTAGTCTTTTGAGCCATTATAGCATTATTTGGCTGCCTGAATACAGTTATCTCTCAGAGTTTCATGATAAGACAAGTATAATAATATTTGGGATGACAGAAATACCCGAGTAATGAAAGCTCATTTAACCCATTAGTTGAGCCTCCAGCCTCACTAATAACCCTTTCAAAATGTCTATGAATGTCTACTTGCTGAGCATCCTGTTTGTGAGGAACGGGGCAAGGGTAGTAATAAAAACTGCATTTATTCCTTCATTCAACATTTATCGAGCACTTGGCCCCATAGGTTCAGGCAACCTGAGGAATTGGAAACCTGAGGAATTCACTGTTTCACATGGGAGACAACTGAATATAAACCAGTAAAGCCAGGTGGTGTGGTACTATCATAGTAGCAAGAGTAAGACTGTTAAGGGAATTCAGAGAAGCATCATCTAAGTTAGAAGAGATAATGCAAGGCTTTTCAGAGGAGAGAAGGAGTGAAGGAACAATAAAAATTAACCAGGCAAAGAAGCTGAAGCGTGAAGGTGTTCTCTGATAAATTCAGAGAACCAGAAGGTTATCTGGGTATCAGAGTTGCAACAGGATAGGATGGAAAGTGAGGATTTGTAATGGATGAGAGAGAAGGCTGGAGGAGTAATGATGGGCCACGTCTCAAAACACTTTGTGTGGCCGCCTGAGAGGAATTCAGGTTCACCCTGACAACAGTGGGATATGAAGCAGGGAAGCGGTGTTATCTGATTTGCATTCCTAAAGATTGACCACAGGCTGGAAGAAACGTTGGAGGCAAGGAGAACTGTTACCCTGTGGTTGAACAGTGGGGAGGAGATGAGCAAGTCAAAACAGTAATGGGAGGAAATGCAGGCAGCTTCCTCTGAAGAGAGTATTGGAGGCTGGAAGTTGATTGGTCAATAATAGAGAGAGTAAGAGAGGGTTTTTGCTTTCTTTTAAAGGCAGCCTTAGTTATTATTTTCATTGGTTGGATTGAGCCATTAGAGAGTGACCATGAAGTTAAGGAGAGGAATAACTGAACAGAAAGTGCCTGAGTGGGTGAGAGGAATGTCCAGACGAGGCTGGGGGAGGTGGGCGCCCCTTCCCCGGACACAGTAGAGGAGGAGGGAGGGACCATGGGTGACCGAGTCAGACTGCAGGCGGGTCAGGAGCAGGGGTGGTGTGTGATACGGGCAGCTTGTACAGTGGGCTGAGGATTAGCAGAGGCTAGGGAGGGTCGCGGCAGTGGCCGTGGCTGTGCAGGCGGCGGCCCAGGTCACCCAGCTCTAACTTTGAAGGGGCCAGTGTTGTTGAGCTCTTAGTACCAGGCAGAAGCGTGGGGGTGCAAGGTAAATAAGCTCAGTTCTTGCCTTTAAATGCTGTTTTCTAGTCCAGCAAAAGACAGGAGGATGGGGCTTTCCAGCTTCAGACTCAGCTTGTGCTCGCTATTTACAACCTCTTGGAAGGAAATGAGCTTGTATAATGAGCTAGTGTCTGGCTCCTAGTAGGCACTCTCTGGTGGCTCAGACAGTGAAGAATCCTCCTGCAGTGCAGGAGACCTGGGTTCGATCCCTGGGTTGGGAGGATCCCCTGGAGAAGGGCATGGCAACCCACTCCAGCATTCTTGCCTGGGGAATGCCCATCAACAGAGGAGCCAGGCGGGCTACAGTCCGTGGGGTCGCAGTCAGACACTGAGCGACCAAGCACAGCATCGGCGCTTGGTAAACGTCTGTTGAGGGAACCGAGGAGTAACAGGCCCCCTGGGGAGGGAATGAAGAGGCAGGGGAAATGTTACCTAATGTACAAACTCTGTGCAATGGGCCATTGTTCCTGCCTGTAATTGTAAAGTTATGTTCAAGGGTCTGTAGCTGTTATTTCCAACCTAAATCAACCATCCAGAATAGATCTCATGTAGCAAGGTTGGGTACAAGAGAGACAATATTTTCCATTTAAAATTTGACCTGCTTTACTTTTTTTTATAAGGATTATGGTAACATTTGGAGCAAACACTTTTGTCATCATTTAAATGGTGTCCTCAGGATAGACTGTCTCATTTGACATTGTATTTAAAAAGGTTTGTGTTTAATTTCCCTCCCTTCTCTTTCTCCCAAATGAATTGTGGTCAGTAACCAAGTCATTGAAACACAATTTTGTTCATATCTAGTTTTCCATTTTTTAAAAACTTCTGCATAACTCAGTAAAATTTTCAACTTGTAATTAATTTGCTACATATTTTACTAGTTCTTGGTGAAGTGTTATACTCAAAATTATTTAAATGATTTATGCAATTTTCAAAATTGTGTTTTAAAAAATGTTATAAGCGATAGCTTTTGTCCATACACAGCCATGCCCCTGTTTGCTATTATTGCTTCAACAGGAATCAGTGCCAAGAAAACTTTTAATAGGTTGAATTGGTTACTCTAGGGCCTTCCCCGGCCCCACCATCTCACGTCTGTTTGGAGTGGCAGTTAAGCGTGTGTACTTTAACGTCTCTTCTTTTGGCCTGGTCTGTACAGAAGTAATTCACATTTTCATGAATCCTTTGAGACTTGGCGTGTGTGGTTTTATGCAATGGTTCATTCCTATGTCCTGCAGGATATCTATGACCTTAAGGACCAGATTCAGGATGTAGAAGGGAGATACATGCAGGGGCTTAAAGAACTGAAGGTATCAGGGCCCTTTCTGCAGCCCAAGCATGCTCTCTGTGCGCAGAAGTGTCAGTAACGGTGGTTTCCCGAGTTCTCTTAACCCCACTGCACACGGCTTTACTAACCGTGTTTGTCTTTTAAGCATGTGCTTAACCTTCAGTGAAAGGCGAACTTCCAGTCTCTGCTGATATTTACATGTGTGGTGTAGTTTTGGGACTATTCAGCAAAAGATGGTCGGCTTCCGTTTTTAAACCTTGTAAAATACTTACATGTCCCTTGTGTCTTAGCCTTACAAAATTGAGTTAGGCAAAAACCTAAGAAGTGTTCTAAGAATATTTTTTTTTTTTTTTAGAATTAAACCTTAAAATTCTTCCAAGCTAAACAAAAGAGCATTGCCTATTTCTGTCACCAAATTCAGTGTTAGAAATAGGAGGAAGAAGCATCTGAGAGAGAGCATTCCTATAAATAATCCCTGTGGTGGAAAGACCCTGAAGCATGAGGACTGTGTTTTGGTGGTTTTTTTACATGTAGGTCAAAAAGGGTTACACAGATTCAGTGCCTTAAAGAATTTGAAGGTAAATTTAAATAGGGATCTTCCCTGGTGGCTCAGATGGTAAAGAGTCTCCCTGCAATGCAGGAGACCCAGGTTCGATCCCTGGGTTGGGAAGTTCCCCTGGAGAAGGGAGTGGCAACCCACTCCAGTCTTTTTGCCTGGAGAATTCCATGGACAGAGGCTATAGTCCATGGGGTCACAAAGAGTCAGACATGATTGAGCGACTAACACATTCCCTTTTTAAATGGTAGCAAGAATGGATACCAGTTTTCAATAGAAGTGTAGGTGTGTGGCAGACATGTTAGTTATAAATGGCACTTGATTATCATGCTCTTTCCTGTGTTTTCTTACAAAGTGCAGATCTAACATATGAATTACTGTAAGTTTCTCTGAACACAGGTAGTTCCCTATTTAATATAGAAATAGACACCAGGCCTCTCAAAATATGCAGACAAGGCATTCAGAAAGGTGACTTGGGTGATGTCCCAAGAACACAGCATGAACCTGACAAGCAAAGGCTTTGCTCAGTTGCCCTGGCATGACTGGACTTGGGCCAACTGCCAGCCGAAACCTTCCCGCAGGTGACTGTGGCCCAAAAGGCACACGGTTAAGGCTCAGGACCGAAGGGTGGGAAGGCCTGTGGAGGGCATTCCTGGGACGCCCAGACACCACTGACAGCCGTGTGTGGGCACTGGTGAGCATCAGGAGAGTCCAGTCAGTGTGCCTATGTGCTCACTCAGCCTCGTTGCTCTCATCTTCAAGTTTTGGAGCTATGACTTGGAAATATCTCAGATCAAGGGAACAAATCCAGGACTTTCAATCAATACATTCATTTTAAAGTATTGACTAACATAATGTATCAGGAAAGCAAATGATTCAGAGGAATTCTACTTGTTTGTCATTTTATTTTTAACATTTTCCTCTTTTTGACCTACCATTTATTGCATTCTTTGAAGGATACAGAAAACAGATTCACCTTATTTGAGACTCTGAACAGATAAGACCCCTTTCCTTCATTCATAGTGTATAACTGAACTTGACTTCAGATTGTGTTTCTCCTTGAAATGAGTCTTTTAAACAGAAGAAAAAAGTCATTTACGAAATCATCCAGTTGGTGGTCAAAGCACAGTGGTGTGATGTACCCATATCCTATTAAAAAAGAATGGTGGTAGGTCATTGCTTATGACATTATTCTCCAGTATGTTTGCCTGTGAGGGGTTTTTTCCCCTCTCCAGCTTCCATCCATCATCACCTGGGTCTCATTAATAGCACAGATTGCTGGACTCTACTTCCAGATTCTCTCATTCAGAAAGTCTAGGATGGGGTTATTGAAAGTTTTCATTTTTAACCAGGTCCTAGATAATGTTGTTGCTTCTAGTCCAGAACCTACACTGAAAATCAGTTCCTTGGATATATTTAAGTAGACTAATTCCTTTTGGGTATCACTGTGTGAACTAGATTAAAATCATTAAAAGTACCTTGACACTTAAACTAGTCCTCTGTGGTCTGTTGTTTAAAGAAAAGTACGTTCCACACATTTTATGTCAATTTTATCATTTTATATGTTGTATCCTTGGAGCTGCTGCTTAAACTACCTTAGATTCTGGTGTTCGTGCAGTCATGCCCCATTTTGTATGGGACTGAGTTGTGAGGATGACTTTTCTTCTTCTTTTTTTTTCTTTTTTGCTATTTGTCTCTAAGATGGATCAGAATCACTCTAAATTCTGCATTGTGTGGGGTTGGGCTAAAAGTTTGTTCATTTTCTCTGGAAAAAACCCCAAAACATTAATATACTCCTGATTTGCGAACAATTAAGTGTATGTGTGTGTGTGTGTGTGTCTTCATTAAGATAAAATTCACATGCCATAAAATTTACCTATTGAAAAAGTGTACAGTGTAGTGGTTGGTTTGTTTTTTTTTTTTGCATAGTCACAGTTGCACAGACATCACCAGTTTTATAGTATTTTCATTACCCCAGAAAGAAACCCCATACTAATCAGCAGTTTTTCTCCATTCCTTCACTCCCAGACCACTAGTCAATGTCATCTTTTGTGATTGACTTTTTACTTAATGTTTTCAAGATTCATCCATGTCATAACATGCATCTCTGTGTGTGTGTGTGTGTGTGTGTGTGTGTGTGTGTGTGTGTGTATGTGTATGTAAAAATTGGTAACATTACAGTGTACAGATTTACTACATTTTGTTCATCCATTTATTAGTTGATAGGAATTTGAATTGTTTATAGTTTGGAGCTGTTACGAATAATGCTGCCATAAGCATTTGTGTCCAGGTTTTTGTATAGATATATCTTTTCATTTCTCTTGAGCAGATTACCTAGAAATAGAAGTGTTGGGTCATATGGCAGTTCTGTGTTTAACATTTTTACTTGCTGTCAGACTCTTTTCCTGAAGCAGCTGCATTATTTTACATTCTTACTAGCAATGTATGAGGATTCTGGTTTTTCCATTTCCTCACCAGCACTTGTTCTCTCTTTTTTTGATTATGTACAATAGCCATCCTATTCAGTCTAGAGTAGTATCTCATTATGGTTTTGATCTTATTTCTTTAATCACTAATGATATTAAGAATTTTTTTTATGCTTACCATTTTGTACCCTCTTTGGAGGAATATCAATCCTTTCCCATTTTAAAATTGAATTGTGTGTCTTTTAATTGTTGATTTATAAGTATTCTTTATATATTCTAGATACAGGTACCTTATCAGATATAAGATTTACAAATGTTTTCTCCCATTTTTTGCATGGTCTTTATTTTCTTGATGATATAGTTGTAGCATAAAAGTTTTTAATTTTGATAAAGTCTGTTTTTTTCTTACATTGATAGTTTGGTTTCATATCTGAGAAACCACTGCCTACGCCAGTCATAAAGATTTACTTCTGTGTTTTGGGGGAAGAGTTTTATAATTTTGGCTTTTAATTTAGGACTGTGATCCATTTTGAGTTAATTTTTGTGTATGGTGTGAGGTAGGAGTTCACCTTTATTTGCTTGCATGTGGATCTTAGTTGCCCCAACAGCATTTATGAAAAAACTATTCTTTCCCACTGAGTTGTCTGGGCACCCTTGTCCAGTATCAGTTGATCATAAATGTGTAAAGGATTCTGGACTCTCTGAACCCTCAGTTCAAATATCATTGCTCTTTTGTTTACCATTTGCATCAGTATTTTAAAAATACAGAAGTGGTGACTTTTTCTATGTGAAATGTTTTTCTTTTTAGCTTTAAAGATGTTGCTAGGTAATAGTAATCTACCAAAATAGAAGCAGCTATTTAAAAACAGACTGTAAGCTATTTTAGGCAGAAAACTTTGAAGTATATAAAAATTTAGGCATTCAGTGGTAGCACTTTTTTGGGCGTGGGGAGGGGGGGCTTGCAGCTGGGCTTGTGTTATCTGAGTTCCCAGCCAGGGGTTGAACCCAGGCCCTGCAGTGAAAGCGCGGAGTCCTAACCACTGGGCCGCTGGGGAATTCTCCTGGTAGCTCTTTTTAAAAAAATAATTGTTTTTGTGTCGCTTAACTTATTTTAAATGGCTAGTATGTGAATAATGTCCAGAGAAAATGTGTATACATTTGTTAACATTATGCAGAACAGGAAGGTACTGAAAACAGAGATCCAAGAATTGGTGAGACTCAAAGGGGTGTGAAGCCTGCTTGTAAAAAAGAGGCTGTATCCCTGTCGTTGCGCTCAGTGCCAGACAGCTTGCTGTTGAAAACCACAGGAGCAACATTTCTGAAAACGTTCACGAGTCTCCGTTTTATGACTTTTACACTCTGACTCTTACGTGTTGTCTGCATGCTTTTTTGTCTTTCGGAGGCTACGTTGCTGCTTGATTTTGTTTTCTTGGATAGCAGAGAGCCCATAAAGTGCTTATAATGGCATTCTTGGCTTATTGTCGCCTCCTGTTTCATGTGCATGTCACTAAACAAAGATTTTCCAAAACTGCTTGTATTTTGCAAAAATGCGTCTTCTGTGTGTGTGCCAGTGCTGTAGGTGATGAACGTATTTTAGATATCAGACTGATGACTCTGACTTTCATTTAGGAGTCTTTGTCTGAAGTGGAAGAAAAATACAAGAAAGCCATGGTTTCCAATGCACAGTTAGACAATGAGAAGAACAATTTGATATACCAAGTAGATACCCTCAAGGATGTTATTGAAGAGCAGGAGGAACAGATGGCAGAATTTTATAGAGAAAATGAAGAAAAATCAAAGGTAATCTGCTCATTTTACATCATGCCTTTCTCTGGGGTCAGAAAATTAAAACCTGCTGTTTAAAAAGTACTGTTTTCTTCTGTAAAATGGGGCCAGTAATGCCTACATCATAGTTCTGTGATGAGAGGTTAATGATTATTACTGACTATAAAGTGTTTATTTAGCACATAGTATTTTTTCAGTGAATGGTTGTTAGTATTATCGATGAAGAATAAAGGAGAATTAAAAATTTTTTTTAAAGTACTGGCTTTGATGGAAGAGGCCAGGGTCCTGGGGAATGGTATTTCCCTCAAAACTGGTTGCTGCAAGGAAATCAACATAAGACTGCCATTCCTGGAATATTTTCCTTTTTTAATTTTTATAAGATTTATTTCCATAAGGGGAAACTTATCACCTCCTTTAGTTTCTGAAAATAGAATGCAGTTCAAATTTGATCTTTATTTTCTATCTCTTAATTCGACAATTAGAGTGAATTACTTCTTCCTGTTATAACTGCTGGAACTTCACAAAGCTCCAGAGACTTTCAGTGAGATGGCTCGCTTTTTCTCTTTTCTTTTTTTCTTCTCTTCTCTCTTCTTTTCTTCTCTCATTTTTCAAGAGAACCTGTTTTCTAAATGATTGGGGAGAAGTCTTTAACCAGTTATTTGGAAACAGCAGTATGGAGGTATGGATCAGAAATCAGCAGATGTTTTCTTTAGCGATTTGTAAGCTATATTGTTAAAATGTGCAGATGGAAAATAAAAGCCTCTGCCCAAGGCCTGGTTTTGCCTTTTGACAGCCACAGGAAACAAGCTGAGTTCCCTTGAAAAGCTTATTGGATTTTTTAAAAAGTGCTGAAATCAGTCCAAGCAGAGGACAGATGGATATTACTATGAAGAAATGAGCTGCCGGTACATTGTGTTAAAGAAAAAAAGAAAAGAATTTAGGAAATGTGCTTTGGTGAATTGTTAGAAGCAATAACAGTCTGTATTTGTATGTAATAAAGGGAGAGAAGGTGTTAATATAACCTCTAAGGGACCCACATTATTACTGTAGACTCTATAGGGATTTCTTAAGGGCTGAAAATGCTCATTCCAGTCTCTTTTCGTCACTTTTACAAAGTGTTACGAAGTATTTGCAGCAGGGTTAGGGGAAGGAAGGCTGAAGAGGCAGAGTGCAGGAGATTTTTAGGGCAGCAGTGCTATTCTATATCATACATTGTACATTTATCACAACTCACAGAATGTACAACAGAGAGTGAACTCTAATGTCAGCTATGGGCTTTGAGTGACAGTGACATGTCAGTGTAGGCTCATTGATTGCAACAAATATGAATGAAGTCTCTCAGTCGTGTCCGACTCTTTGCGACCCCATGGACTGTAGCCTACCAGGCTCCTCCATCCATGGGATTTTCCAGGCAAGAATACTGGAGTGGGTTGCCATTGCCTTCTCCAGGAGATCTTCCCAACCCAGGGATTGAACTGAGGTCTCCCACATTGCAGGCAGACGCTTTACCGTCTGAGCTACCAGGGAAGCCCCGCAACAAATATACCCCACTGGTTTATGATGTTGATAGTGGGGGAAGGCTGTTCTGGAACGGGGGAGGGGCGCAGGGGTATTTGGGAACTCTGTAGTTTCTGCTGGATTTTGCCTTAAACTCCTCTGAAAAAATGATGTTTGTAAACAAAAACATTAGGATAAGAAGACCTACATCTATAAGGTGACGGGGGCTTCTGGGTGTTTTCATATTGATGACAGTGGCTCCTTGACATTGCGGTGATGGTAGATGGATTCCTCTCTGATTCTTCGTGTATCTCATCAGCCAGCTTTGGAGAGTCCAAGCCATCTTACTTTTCTTAGTCCTTGGACTCTTTTTCTACCTTGCCACACATTTTTCGTGTCTATTTCTGGCTCTTGCTTCTAACAGATTAGAAGAAAAGCTCATGGTATGTATTGAATGGTCAGTACTAAAAGGAGTTCTTCTCTTTCTATCTTCTCCAATGACCTGGAACATTAAAAAAAAAAAAAAATCCCTGTGATAAGCTGTTTTCACCTACTTCATTTTCCCTCCTATCATTTTCTAGGATATAGAGATGTCTTAGCATACATAGAGCTGTGGTTTTCTTTCAGTTTGTTTTTGTTTCTGAATCTTGTGCTTTTTGACTTTGAAAAGTCTGTGTGTTTTTTTAATGCCCTGGGAATCTGCTTCAAATATGGTGACGCAGAAGACTTCGTGGGCATGTCTGTGATGCACCTTCAGCCCAGCCTCTCTCCTCCTGAACAGATACTGCCTCATACAGATGTTCCTGTTCTTTTACACAACAATATTTATGCCACCTTTCAAAATGTCTTTCGTGTCTTCTGCTGGGATTATGGTAACTGCGTTTTACATGTTGTGTCTATACTTCAGGGACGGAGTGCCTGGTTAGAAATGTCTGCATTATCGTAGGGAATTCTTTTTCTTTTTTCTTTCCTTTTCTTCTTTTTTTTAGTTTATCTGAGATTTAACAAAATCTTTCACTGCAGATTTTAAACGGACCAAAAAAAAGTATAATGAATTTTTCTGAACCCGTCACTGACCACAGACAGGACATCGATGCATAGCCAGTTTTACCATGTCCGCTTCCCCTCGGTTTGTTTGAAGCAAGTCCTAAATACCCCCTATTTTAATCTGAGTTTATTATTTTTTTTTATTTATTTTTGCCCACACTGTATGGCTGGTGGGATCCTAGTTCCCTGACCAGGGATTGAACCCAGATCTTGGACAGTATTAAGTGCCAAGTCCTAACCACTGGACCGCCAGAATATTCCTGAATTTAATATGAATTTAAACATGTACTCTCTTTCTAAAAATATAATGGCAATACCATTTTACATCTGAAAAGTTAAGAATAATTCCTTCATACTGTATATCCTGTCATTGTTAAAATTTCAGTTTCAAAGGTCATAAATGATTTTTCTTTTTTACACTTAATCAGAGTCTTGATGAGTTCCACACATTGGAGTTGGTTGTCATGTCTTACAAATCTCTATTTATAGGTTTCCTTTCATCTCTTTTTCTCTCTTGCAGTTTATGGGTTGAAGAAACTGGATTGCTGGTCTTAACAGTTTCTGAGTCTTGGGGATTTTGCTGTTTCATTAACTGGTTCTTTACCATGCTCCTTTTTCTTCTGTGTTTCCTATAAATAGTTAGGTTTAGAGGTTTAAACACATGTGGGTTCAGTCTACTTCATAGATTCTTTTCCTTCAGGAGGCCCAGGTATAGGGCATCTCTCTGATACTGCAACAGGGTGTTTATATCCCTAGTTGGTTAGGGGTGGCAAAATGACATTCTATTTTTATCTTTACTGCTTTCTTTTATTTTTCCATCATTGTTTTAAAACAGCTTTATTGAGATATAATTCACATACCATATACTTCATCCATCTTAAATGTACAGTTCAGTGGGTTATTTTGCATCTTCACAGACAAGTGCAACCACAACCAATTTTGGAATGTTTCATCACGTGAGAAAGCAGCCCCGTACCCTTCAGCAGTCATCTCGCTCTCGGCCCCTCAGCCCTAAGTGTTGGTTCTACTTTCTGTCTCTGTAGAGTTAGTTGCCTTTCATATCAGTGGAGTCGTACACTATGTAATCTTTTATAATTGGCCTGTTTCACTTTGGTTAATATTTTCAAGTTCATCTGTGTGGTACATGCATCTGTACTTCATCCCTATTTATAGCCTAATAATATTCCATTGTATAGATATACCATGTTTATCCATTCATGTGTTGATGGACATTTTTTTCACTTTTTATCTGTGATGAATTATGCTGCCATAAACATTTGTGTACAAGTTTTTTGTGGGAACATTCATCTTTCTTTTAAATATTATACCTAGGAGTGGAATTGCTGGGTCATTCAGCAAGTCTGTGTTTAAACATTTAAGGAATAACCAGACCCTTTTCCAAAGTGGTTGCACCATTTTCTGTTCCCTCCGGTAATGTATGCAGATTCTGATTTCTCCACATCCTCGCCAACACTTGTTCTTATCTGAGTCTCTTCCTTGCCATCCTGGGAGATGTGGCTTTGGAATGCATTTCCTTGATGACTAATGATTTTGAGTATATTTTGATATGTGTACTGTTTGTACATCTTCTATGGAGAAACGTCTGTTCAGATCCTTTGCCCATTTTTAAATTGGATCATCTTTGTGTTATTGCATTGTTAGGATTTGTATATTCTAGATTCAAGTTCCTCATCAGATACATGGCTGGCAAATATTTTCTCCCATTCCATGACTTGTCTCTTCACTTGACTCTGCTTTATTTATTAGTGTAAATTGCCCCTCATCCCTTATTACTCAGTGAAACAGTTTACATAGTAAAGGCAAGATAAAAGCATGACTCTTTTCCTTCATTTACAAGTTTTCAAAATAAGGAATTGATTGTTTAGCATCCTCTCACAGTGACCAATTATTATTCTTTTTAAAAAACCATTATGAAGGCAGGAATTTGTTTGATGATTTCCATCCACTGTAGCTTTATTCTTACTGATTTTCAAGTTGTCCCACGTTGATCTGCAGTGAACATCTGCAGGTTGATTCCCAAGTAATTTCGACCCGAGTCTGATTGGTTGTGATAGCTTCTTTGCTGTGTGGTGTAAGCAAGTTTTCAGGGCTTGTCTGGTACGTTTTCTGCCCCAGACCTGAATCAGCTGTCAGCCCAGGGAGCCCTGGCGCGCTCTCGCTGGAGCGGTGTGGGTGTCAGGATGCACGCGCCACGGCGCTGCTGACTCTCTAGGCCTTTTCAGTGGCTGTGTGAGGGCGATGTGTGCACGGGGTGTTTTTTGTTTTTAAAGTCAAAACATGTGTATAGTGTTAATTTATATTCAGACTTCGGATTTTTACTTGACCTCTCTGTCTTACATATGTGTATCTCCTTCTTCTGAAAATGCCCTTCCCAGTTCTCAGAGTCACTCGGGATGGGGGTAATTTTGTTATATTCTATTTTCATCACTTTATCCCACAGTACCTAGAATAGCAATACCAACATTACCACCAGCAGTATAATTACTGAAAATAGTTAAAAGCATGTTTGTTTTTCTCTGTTTGGTTGTTATTTTACTGCTTGGCTGTATATAGTACAACCATTGTTTTTAAAGTTACTTGAAATAGTTTCTCTGTGCTTATATCACTAACTGAATACTTACAATTAGGTTCACTACATTTTCCTTTCAGTATTTAGGAATTGCTTTTTTAAATTTTTTATTATGAAATTATTTTTACTTTTAATTGTGGTTAAAAAAAAATAACAAAATTTACCATCTTAACTGTTTTAAAGTGTGCATTTCATTTATGTTTATTCACACTGTTGTGTAACAGCTCTTGAAAACTTTTCATCTTATAAAACTGAAACTCTGTATCCATTGAACAACCCCCCAGTTCCTCCTCCTGCTCCTGGCGGCAGTTCTGCTTCCTGTCCCTATGAGTGACTCCCCCAGGTACCTCATATAAGGGGGTTCATCTCTGTCTTTTTGTTCCTGGCTTATTTTACTTAGCATACTGTCCTCAGGGCTCACTCCCGTTTGTAGCATGTGACGAGATTTTCTTCTGAACACTACTCCACTGTACTTATGTACCACATTTTGTCTGTCCTTCATCTGTCAGTGGACACTTGGGTTGCTTCCACAGTGAAATTTTTTACACAATTTGTGAATTATTTACACATATCTGAAGTCAAATCAGTAACAAAAATATATTCAAAGAAGTCCGTCTTTTGTCTCATTCTCTTCATCCCGATTTTCTCCTTCCTTAAGGGAATTTTTTAAATTAAATGGTTTATCCTCCTATTTTTTTTTTAATCCTAAGAAGACTTTTTTCCCCATTCAAAAAATGAAATATATTTGTTTCTCCTTTCTTAGAAAATGGTAGCATACTGTACTATTTTTCTGTATCTTGACTCTATCACCTGATGACTAATATAGAGAGCTTTTCCTTTCTTTTTTTTTAATCACTTATACTACAGTTTGTACCACCAGTTTCCTATTAATGGACATTTGAGTTGTTTGCAGCTTTTTGCTCTTCAAAATAGTCCTGCAAAACCAATGTACTGCATAGGTCTTTTTATATTTTTGCCGGTATCTGTGCGAGTCAGAAAAGTGAGTTTGCTGGGTCAGAAGGCCTGGTGGCCCTGCTGCATATGATGCTCTCCTTTGTTGCGGTTGTACGATTTTGTATTCCCACATATTGTAAGAGAGGGCCGGTTTCCTTCTCCCTACTACTTTCCCCTGAGTATAGTGTTTGGGGACTTTTACTGATGTTTTGGTGTGAAACAGTTTTATTTTGCATTTCTCTTAGTATGGGCATCCTTTCACATTCAGAGCAATGTACTTCTTTTTCTGTGAACTGTCCCTTTTTTTTTTTTTAGCCTATTCTAATAAATAATGGGGTTTTTCCCCTCCTTATTTCTAATTTTTGAGGCTCTCTATATGGAAAGATGGTATCCTTTTGTCTCTGATATAACTTAGTAAAACAGTTTTTTGTAGTCATTTGTCACTTGTCTTTTTGCTTTGTTTATAGTGTTTTTGCCATGCAAAAGTTGTTTTTTTTTGTTTTTTGGCCCCGCTGCAACTGCTTGTGGAATCTTAGTTCCCCAACCAGGGATCAAACCACCGCCCTCTGTAGTGGAAGCACGAAACCCTAACCATTGGATCTCCAGGGAGTTTCCCGAAAGTTTTAAATTTTTGTGTAGTCCAGTTTTTTTACCCCATTCCCCTTCTTGTTTTTGGATTTTTGAGTCATGTTTTAGTTTTATCCACTCCTTGGTTATGGCGATACACTCACCTTTTCTCTAGTGACCGTGTGTCTCACTTCCGTTCTTCTGTCTCTGGTTTTCTCTCCCTTTTCCTTCAGTGCATCTCTTCTGGTGTGTTCTGTGAAGTTCGGTTCCAGTTTTCTTTTTCTGTGTTTATATCCAGTTATGCCAACACTGCTAATTTAAAAGCCTAGCTTTTCTCATTGATTTGAACCGCTTTTTGTTTTGTCGTTGTTTAATATGTGATTGGGCCTGTTTCTGGATTTTCTATTCTATTCCATTGGTCTGTATTCATGAGCCATTATAACATTTTTAATTATATAAGCCGCATAATACTGTTTCAATATCTAATAAGATTAGATTTCTTTTTTTGTGTTTTTCTAGCTATTTTTTCTTGTTTTTCTCCCAAATAAACTTTATAATCAACTTATGTTGCTCTGTGGGGGAAAAAACTTGTTGGTATTTTTATTTGGACTGCATTTAATGCATAGGTTATTTTAGGGGGAACCTGTGTTTTTATGATGCATCGTTTTATTCAAGAATATAGCATGCCTTTCCATTGGTTCAGTCCTACGTCTCTGTCTTCCAGGAATGTTTTATATTATTTTCCTCGTATATATTTTGGGTATATCTTACAAGTTTATGTGTATGTATTTTATTTTTTGATAGTGTCTTTCTTGTATCTTCTCTCTTATTTTGATCTGTGGCACTTCTTGAATTTTGCATGTTAATTTTATAAGCTGTGGTTTTACTAAGTCATTTCATTATTCAAAGTAATTTTGCCATTGATTAGTTTGGATTTTCTAGACATGTAATCATATGAGATGAAAATTGAGAATTTCCTGAGCCTTTCTGTAGAACACAGAATTTTTCTAAGTTACAGTGCATGGCAGTGCAGGTGTGTTTCTGGGGGTCACGCACAGCCTCTCTGTCGCTATGTTGTAGCTGTTCCGACTGTCCTGTGCCACCATCTGTTAACCGTGTCATTTCTTTAATAACAGGAGTTAGAAAGGCAGAAACATATGTGTAGCGTGCTACAGCACAAGATGGATGAGCTTAAAGAAGGCCTCCGACAAAGAGATGAGCTAATTGAGGTACGTCCGTGAACTGTGGAAATACCTATTTTGAGGAGAAAATGCGCCAAATGGAATGAGGGCATGTGTGTTGGGAGGGAAGGGGGTTAAAATGCCACAAACCCTGTACCTGTCTCTTCACATTTGGCCACACCCTAACATTTTACAAGTGTGAAACATGAGAGCAGGCTTAAAAAAGTAATGCTGTAACCCCTGTAAGTATTTTCTTTTTAATAGCAGAAGCTTTGGTTACTGTCTCTTATTCCTAAGCACACTCTTCCCTAAAGATACCTTAGGAAGTGGGCAAAAGGAGTACCCCTCAGAGTACCATGGTTCTTGGGAATGTAGTGAATGCTCTATTTTGGGACATGATTCTTGGGGAAGAAGAAGTTTGATCTTCACTCAGGTAGGTGCATTTCTGAAATGGCTAAATGAAAAGAAGTTGTCTGGATGCCTGGTGGGAGACAGAAGGCGAAGCTTGGCTGAGGCTGCGGCTCAGGCTCCCCTGGCAAGGAGCTCTAGGATCACGGCAGGGTCCTAGGAGGGGCGCCCTGTGGGCCCCCAGGAAACCTTTGATGGCCGGGCCTGCTACCTGGCATGCATCTCTGCTTTTCTTTAAATGTGGGTTTCCTCTCGAGGTTGCCATTTTTTTATAAATATGGGGTTGGGTTTATTGGGACTGGCTCCTGCTTGCTTCCTCGGCGTGGTTTCCCGGCGCGTCTCGTGTTAATGAGCGGCGGTGCCGTGGTGATGTCAGGGAGGCCCGCTCCAGCGACCCTGAGATGCTGCCTCGTGGGTCACGCTCATCCATGTCCCTAGTGGTTCGGAGCTCCCCTCCCCGCTACTTTCCCCCCTCCTCTTTCTCTTCCCCCAGCGGATCTGACTCACTTTACCTCCCCCCATGTGAATGACTTTAAAAATTATTTAATCGAGGAAAAGAAGTGATTCTATTTGCGGATTTATATTACTTTTTTGTCATTCTTGAGAATAACTGAACTTGGCTTGCTGAAAGCGGGTAGAATTTGTGAATTCTAAATGCAAACACAGATAACCCTTTGAAAATATCAGGTTACATATGGAGTTAGTTGTCTTGGTTTTTCCATATATGGCAAGAAGTGTGTTATCCAAACTCTGTTTCTTGCTGGCATTTAAAAATAATGTGTGAATTCTTCTCCCTTTTTGTCTTCTTGTTTCTGTGTGTCAGTATGCCAGCCACTTACTTCTTTTTCTAGTTGAAATATATAGTTTTTCCCCATTACAATTTCAAAAGAATGATAAAACTGCTTTGGGAGCTGCTTCTCAAATTCAGTAACTTACACTAGAACTGATTAAGTGTTCTGATTTTTAATGTGATGATTGCATTTAAGAGGAATTTTAATGCTTGACTTTTACAACTTGTCAGTATGGTCTCTTAATTTAAAGCCTAAGGTGCCAGGTATGCAAACTTAAGTTTTAGGTATTTTCTTATGTTTAGAATTAACATCCTTCAAATATTAATACTGGAGAAGGAAATGGCAACCCACTCCAGTATTCTTGCCTGAGAAATCTCATGGACAGAGGAGCCTGGAGGGCTACGGTCCATGGAGTCGCAAGAGTCAGACACGCTTTAGTGACTAAACCACCGCCAGGTGTTAATATACGCATTTACTTATAACTGAAGAGTCTTGGCTATGCCAAAATAATGCTTTTTGGTCTTTAGAATTGAGAACCACATGGTAAAGTACATGAGAGATGTGTGAGTAGGGAAGTAGGAGATGATAATTTACCAGTAATGCAGAAATGAAACCTGCTAAATATGAGGGTATAAATTGTGCATCACTGCCTCCTCAAAAGAGTTAAGAATTGCTGAATGCTAAAATTCAAGTGTTTCTAAAAACTGCTATGATCATTTGTAATTTATGATGTTCTTGCTATCATAGATGCTGCTAAAGGAAATTGAGCATGATTGAGCTGTGTCCCTCTCATGTTTTTTCCAGTTCTGCTTTAAAAAGAGCTCAGAAACTCCCACTTGTTGTCAGTGATAAGGGTCACGTGCTCATAAGCAGGTCTGACCTGCCCTCTCTAGCAGTGGAAGTGTCCCGTGTTTGAGGAAGGGTAGTCATAAGTGGAAGAGCACAGGCGCGGAGCTAGCTGGGCGTGTGCAGGAGCCCACTGGCTGGCTGTGGCTGGGACTGCCGTCCGCGGCCCCTCGCTGGCTGGCCCAGCACCAGGCCAGTGGCAGTCACGGCGCCTAGACACTGCATGTCATCCTTCCTTCCGACAAGCAGCTCTTGCTTTTCCTGTTCATCACAGCCTTTCTCCTTTAGTTAAGTTTATCAGCTTTATTTCTCTTCTGCTTTCCTCCCCCTCACCCCGTCCTCTCTTTCTTCCTGCTCTTTCATTTTTGCTCTTCCCCTCTTCCTCTGCAGGAGAAGCAGCATATGCAGCAGAAAATAGACACCATGACAAAAGAGGTGTTCGAACTCCAGGAGACGCTGCTTTGGAAAGATAAGAGCATTAGGGTATGAAGTGAAACTGGGCTTTGGCCCGAAGCTCACAGACAAGGACTAGACCAATGTAAATGTAATTTAGAGATTCCTAAAGTTCTGTCCTTTGATTATCTTTGAGCATTTATACAGAGTGAAATATAAATTAGCAGAAGACAGAAGGTTCCCTGGGAAAACCTGATCCTATGCCTGGAAAGAACTCTCCTCTCCAGCTGACTCTGGGCTTGTAAAACGTACAAGCAAGAGCTTTCTAAGGAAGTTGTTCTTTATTTTCCCAGGATTTTTGTGCAGAAACAGCCACAGGCATTTAATTCAAATTCTGTGGGTAATTTGATACTCTTACATTGCAAGAATCTGGAGAAGCAGCAGAGGATAGGGGGTGGGGGAGAAGTTATTAACATCCCATAAATCTTTGGTGAATAAAATAGGAAGAGATCAGAATCATTTTAATTACGGAAGTGGATAGGAATGTAAGATTTTGCTGGTGCTGCCAAACTGTGACGTCTCCTCTAATTATATCCTCATAACTCCCCAGAGCAGGGGCCCAGATAAGGAAGAAGTTCTCTGCCTTTTTGCTAAGCCCTTCAGGTAGATCCCAAGAACTCCAGAGACTGAAAACATTCCTGCCAGCTCATCCCAGGTAGCCGTTTGACTGGCAACCGCCTCATGGCATAGGACCTCTGTTCCAGAGACTCACCTTGTCAGGAGAGATGAAGGAAAAGAGAGGAGACCTCTGGCCTGAGGACCTAAGGAAGTCTTGTTCTGCTTGAAATTAGCTGGTGGTGGTGGCGCTCAGTCCCTGAGTCGTGTCCGATTCTGTGCAACCCCCTGGACGTGAGCCCCCAGGCTCCTCTGGCCATGGGATCCCCAGGCAAGAATACTGGAGTGGGTGGCCGTGCCCTCCTCCAGGGGATCTTCCCAACCCAGGGACTAAACCCGTATCTCTTCCGTCTCCTGCACGGGCAGGCGGTTTTGTTACCATGAGCACCACCTGGGAAGCCCAAACTTTTAAAAAATGTTTGAAATCATCGTAGACTCGCATGCAGTTGTAAGAATTAATGCAGAGATCTTGTGTGCCCTTTATCCAGTTTTCCCAAAATGTAACATCTTGTAAAACTATAGTACAATCAGGTGTTGATCTTGATCCACTCTAGATGGAGCACATTTTCGTTACTGTAAGAGGTCCCTCCTATTGCTCTCTTGTAGTCATATCTACTGCCTCAGCATCACTGTCCCAGGTGCTGGCAACTGCTTTTCTCCATTTCTATAATTTGTCATCTTAAGAATGTTTTATAAATGGGATCGTACAGTATATAACCCTTTGGAATTACGTTTTTTTCCACTGAGAATAATTCCCCTTAAGATTCATCCAAGGTGCTTCATGCGTCAAAAGTTTGTCCCTCTTTTGCTTTAAAAAATTGTTTTGTTGTTGTTGTGGCAACATACAAAAAACAACATAAAATTGACCATTTAAATCATTTCTAAGTGAAGAGTTTGGTAGTATTAAGTCCATTCACATTGGAGGTTCCACAGAACCTCTCTGCATCTTGCAGAACTGAAACCGAACTTTATTAAACAACTACTCCCCAGGTCCCTTCGTCTGTCCCCTGGGAGCCCCCATTCTGCTTCCGTTTCTGTGAATTTGACTACTCTGGGTACCTCATACATGGAGTCATACAGTGTTTGTCTTTTTGCGACTGGCTTAGTTCAGTTCAGCGTGTCCTCAGGGTTCAGACATGTCGTAGCATGTGTCAGAAGTCCTTCCTTTGAGGCTGAATGATACTGCAGTGTGTGTGTACCCCACTTTGTGGACTCGGTCATTCGCTGACGGACACTTGGTTGCTCCCGTCTTTTTGCTGCTGTGATCGTGAGTTTGCAAGCCTCTTCTGGTGGTTTCTTTCGGGTACGTACCCAGGAGGGGAACTGCTACGTTATATGTAGTTTACTTTTTGAGGACCAACCATGTTGTGTTCCATAGCAGCTGCACTGTTTCACCTTTCCACCAGCACTGCACAGGGGTTCCAGTTTCTCTCCATCATTGCCAGCACTCTTTTTTTTTTTCGTAGTAGCCATCATCATGTGTGTGAGGTGGTCCTCCCTGGCCTTTTAAAAGATACATTTTAAATATGATCTGTGACTACCTGATGTATCAGGTCTCTAGCTTCACTATCAAGACTTAAATTTAGTAGCTCCATGAAGGAACACAGCCCTTATTCTCATATTCAAGTTCAGTTTTAATTATTTCATTGACCCCAGTGGTTGTTCATCTAGCACCAGAGTAGCTCTGAGCACCCAGGGGTCATGTGTAGAATGGGTGTGTGTGAAGGGCTTGTATGTCCCTACAGCCTAGCACCAAGGCTCACTCCCATTCTCACTAAAGATATTTGTGCCTGTATGTAATTATAACCTGTTATCCAAAAGTTCAGCCTTTCGGGCTTCTTGACACTAGAATTTGAGGTTAGGTCAGGGGTAAAAAATTATTTAAAGCTCCACAAGCATGTACTTTTTACCCTAAAAAAATCTGCTGTAGGAATACTTACGGAAGACAAGCCCAAGAGTAGTGATTATATGGTCAGGTAATACAGAGGATTTCAGATCCAGTGTGAATACATTTGGTCCAGTTATAAGGTATTTCAGTAGTCTTCAAACTCTGTGGTAAGATGGGAGGATTTGCAGGATATATTTTATTTTCCCACCCATGATTATGGGAAGGTGAAATTTGAAAGTCCAAAAGTAAAGATACAGTCTGCTATAAGATTGGGAAGAGGAACAAATGGCATGTACTAGCTAGCATTTGCTAGAACTCGAGTTTCAAATTGGTCTGTTCCTAAGGGGTTTTCTCCAGTGTTATTAATCGAGCATGTTGTGACAATGGCCGCCGTCCCCGTTGTCTGTGGCGATGCACGGCACGACAATGCACGTGGACACCTATAACCCAAAATAGCCAGCCCAGAGAGGACAGGCTGCCACGGATGGGACAGTGTTGTCGGGCTTTGCTGTCCTAATGTTATACTTGCTCGTAATGTAAGTGTTAATACTGGCTTGAAGTGTTCCACTGAATGCCTTGTGGTGTTGGGAATGCACGTATTAACTTACAGGCAGGCTCTCGACACACAGTATGAATGTAAATTGTTGAAAGAGGAAGCTGGATGTTCACATTGCAGTTTGGGCAAAGAAGGAATAGGACTTGTCCTGTGAACTGCTTTTCCAGTGGCATCTGGGGTGACAGTAAGGGAAGATAATGTGGCCTTCGCGGGGTGACGACACATGCAGAGTATGCGAGGGCTTTGAACCAAAAAACTGGGTTCATTTTCTGGCTTTGCCACTTACTGTGACTTCAGGTAGAAAACATAGCTTGTCAGAGCCTCAATTTTCTAATCTGTGAAATGGGGATAAGAAAAGTACAGGGTATGTAAGGGAAAAATTAAATATAAAGATACATGAGAGACATCAATTTTAAGACCTGGAGCTACACAAATGGCAGTTGCCATCATCCCTTATTTACTTACTGGTTGGGAAATAGGATTATAATGATTTAGAAAGTTGTCCAGCTTTTCAACAATGAGTAACTAAGCAGTTGGCCCACTTCTAGACTCTGTAAACCAAGAAGAGAATTCCTGTTGTAGTTCAACTTCTTGCATGAATGGGAACGCTGGTAGAAAACATTGAACATAGGAACAAATGTGCAGAGAAAGGCTTTTTCAAATAGCCCAGCTGCTAGATGTCTGCATACACTGCTTAACCTGGGTGGGTCTTGAAGTCTGGGCTATTTTATGACATAAAGTGACAGTATGTCAGCATGGACGAAACGCGTTCCTGCTTCTGTCCGCTGTCCTCAGCTCTGACAGCTGTGAGCTTTGGGCAACAACAGGGAAAATACACATGGAACCCAGGCCGGCTTTTCATGAACCTTCCTGCATCTTCCGCACTGCAGGGTGCTGGTGCTGAGTACTCCTTTCAGCATGGGCCAGTGGGTGGTGCTGGTATCATCCTTTTTTCTGGTGAGGAAACTGAGGCACAGGTCAATTAGTAGGTGCCGGGACTCAACCGCCTGTTTGCAAACCCATATTCTGCTACCTGCCATAAGAGGACTGGGTTTATTTCATCAGTTTTTCACATTTTGAATGTATATCAGAAAAGCAAATAACCATTAGTTGCATTTAATTAACAAAAACAGATCCTTGAGAATTTGGGGTGGGGGGTTAGCTATTTTTCATTGAGTGGTATATGAGGAATATTTTACCATATGATGTAGAGGACAATTACTGCAGCCAGTATTTAATTAAAATACACTGTATATATACTGGTTATTCCAGAACCCATTTTTTATTTTTTAAAAAATCAAGTATATTCTTGAATATACTAGTTCAGTTTAACATGAAATGCGGGTTTTGGGACTACCAGATAAAAGCACACTTAGGAGGTTTGTCAGGAAACCTTTATTTCAGTATTACTTATTCTTCACCTTCCTTCTCTGTTTGTTTTCACTGACTAAAAAGGGTTTGTTTTCTTGCCTGACGCACTAAGCCTGCTTTGCCAGATTTACACGCAATTAGCCACTTTCTACAAAACCCTCTCTGAAGCTAGATGCGTAGGACTCTGCTCCCTCCGCACCTAAGTGCTTGTGTCCAGAGCTTCTGACGCCCCCTTGTCTCTGACGCTTCCTCTTTTTTGAGGTTGAACCCGGTCCTGCTCTGATCCCTTTCATTTGCTCTCTCTCTCTGCCCTTCTTTCTCCCGCTGCCCCACCTAAACCAGGCCCTGGAGAAACTGAGAGAACACGCGGGCCGCCTCAGGAGCGAGCGGGCCGCGCTCCGGGAGGAGCTGGCCACCCTGAAGGCGGCGGCGGAGGCGGGAGAGGTACGTGAGCTCCTGGCCGCCTTGCTGCTGCTCCTGCCGCCCTGCCCTCTCCGCCTCTGAAGCTGTCCCGGGGCCGGGGTGTGAGTGCGTCTGCAGAGCTGGCGCTGGCCAGGGGCCCCCGCGGCAGGCGTGCGTTGTCACAGGGCCTCCGTGCTGCCGCCTGCTGCTTCCCTGCGGGCTCTTCTGTGACGCCGAGTCTCCTTCTCCCCGCAGAAACATGGCCTAGTCATCATCCCCGACGGCACGCCCAACGGCGACGTCCACCAGGAGCCCGCGGTCGGGGCCATCACCGTGGTGTCTCAGGAAGCCGCCCAGGTCTTGGAGTCGGCGGGGGAAGGGCCGCTCGGTAAGACGCCGCCGCTGTGTTGACTGGGGTTCGTGTTGTCCTGGACGTCTAACCTGGGCACATCCTCTCTTGGCAAACAAGAGCCAGGGCGCTCTGAGCCTTCTCGACATTGCTGAGAGGAAGACACCTGGGCACGCTGTCCTCGGACGTCCTTGGCCTTGGGGAAGCAGCGCTTGGGCCCTTGCCAGGCAGGGTCGGGGGGTAAAGCCCCTGCTCGGACGTGCGCGGGTGTGTGTATGTGGCTTTGTCACTTAAACGCTACTTTCTGCCAAGAGAGAATCCAGCACATCTGTCCTGGGGAGCCAGAGGGCTGGTCGGTGGCTTCCTGAGCGTGTTCTAAGTTTCTTCTTACGGGAGCATCTGGTTTTCTGTTTTGCCACTCAGGATTCTGTAACTCCTTGCCACTGCACTTCTTAAGGCAACAAACAGACGACCAAAAGTTAGCGTTTCAATATTCACTTACGTAACAAATTGCCAGCCACTGGAGTTAGTTTCTGCAGAAATCCCCCCGTCAGTTATGTGTTCAGGGCTAAGCCACTTACACTGGACGCTTTGAGAGCCCGACGACACTACCCTCAGGAAGATGCCCATCTGCTGCGTCCACTCAGAATCCAGTCCTAGAGGATGGCACAGGTGGATGCTGTGTCGTCAGCCACTTTTATATTAAAAGTGATCTTTCTTCCTTTTTTATTTTCCTGTATGTGTCAGTTTCCTAGAAGAATGTGTATATGATAGAGGCGGGCCCGCTGTCAGTGAGGGGGCTCTGGAAGTTTAACTGTCGGCCCTCTGATGCAGCGGAGGATGCCGCGGAGCATGGACGTGTCCAGCCACGGGCAGCTACAGGGTTTCCTCTGCCTTGTGGGGCGGGCTGGAGTCTTTGGCGGTGACCGTGGTTGGCTGTGGGGAGCTCGTTGTCTGTCGGCATCCCGTCGGTCCAGGGGCCTGTTCTCCTGCATGTTGGGAGGGAGCATCCATCCCCTCAGGCCAGGGGCGGCCCATGTAGTCCTGCTGCGGAGCCTCTGACGAGCCTTGACAGCCCACGTCTTAGAGCCCGCCCGCACCCCTGCCCCACACACAGGCCTGTGGGCCTTGCCTGCTCCTGGCATCGCCTTCCTGTGCGTTCTTTGCTCCAGCATCCCCTCAGGCTCCTTCTCAGCCCTGTCCTCTCTCCCGGAGTTTGTTTTCTCGTTCTAAGGACTTAAAAGCCTGTGGGGGTACCCTTGGCTTTCAGGGGATTGTCTCCTGGTAAAACTTTCAAATTTTTGAAACGAGGAAATGATCTTTGTACTTGCATTTGTCTTCACATGGAAAATCACTGCTTTGGGGAGCAAATGTTGTATTCAGTGCCTGATAAACATCAACTGTATGGAAACAGGTCTTGCATCATCCAGTACTTTCCCTTTCATCATTAAAGCCTTTATGTGTTTTGATACTCAAAGCGGTAAATTGTTTATCAGATGTTTGCTATTTGTGAATTTGAAGAATTTTTTTAAATTGTTTATATACTACATCATTACAAACTTTTCATTTGTTTTAGACGTAAGGCTACGAAAACTTGCTGGGGAAAAGGAAGAGCTACTATCACAGGTAAAGGCATTCTTCTCATGGGAGGGTAATCCTAATTGTAACTGACTAAATCATGTGGTAAAATGTGAGAAAATTAAAATATGCACTAGAAAGACATGTGCTTATTTCAGATATCACTACTCCAGTAAGAGTTGAAGGATAAAAAGTCATATTTACCTCTTTGTTGTCTCCTAGTCTTTAAAAAAACAGGTATAGGCCACAGTTCAGGCAGCCGGCTCTGCAAGCCCTGTTAGGACGAACGTTCCTGCCCTGGCTCTCGTGTTCAGTCCCTGTAGCTGACTGCGGTGTGCGCTGACCACTATGCCTCTCTGTGACGTGCTTAGGTTGCTTCTTGGCCATTCTGTTTAAGGCGGTCCTGGTGACACCCCTCTATGGAGTGTGGGGGCTTCACTTGATTCACCCCGTCTCCGTGCCCAACATCTGTCGTTCCCGTGCCCGCTCCCTCCCCACAAAGGGACAGTGTGACTCCAGTTGGGCTGTGTCATCGGAGGTGTGTAAGCACTGCGCACAGCGGGACCACGGAGCATGTTCTGGGGTCCTTTCATCTCTTTCGCATCTCAGCTCCCAAGTCAGGACTGGGGTTTGCCTCGTCATGCGCTTGGTTTCCTATCTGCTGGTTTCGCATCTAGGGCCAGGCTCTCCCGCAGTAGTTTCGGCCCATCCGGCATTCCCTCAGGTCCACTTTCTGGTTCCTGGAGCATCTGGCTCAGCCCTTCTGGACATGCTGGCTCACTCCCTGGGGACAGAGACCTTACCACCCTGCTCATCATCTGGTTTCTTTCGCCTGTAAGCTCCAGGCTGGACCCCATTCTGCAGCGTCTTAGGCCTCCTTCCCTCCACCTCTGTTCTCTTGCTCAGGTACATCCCCCAGTAGCTTCCAGAGAACAGTTTGGGGGCAGTAAATTTTTCTTAACTTCACAGGAGTGAAAATGTCATCTTACCCCTTTATTTGATTAACAGTTTGATGTGGTTATGGACTTCTTTGTTGTAATCACTTGCATTCATCTTCTTTTTCAAAGAAATTGCTTCATTGTCTTCTGGCCTCCTTTGGCTATTGAGAATTTCAAGGACATTCTGATTTTTTATTTTTTATCTGTGACCTATTTTTCCCCTCTGGAAGCTTGGCCCATACTCTCCTTTCTCCCTAGTATTATGAAAGTTCAGTGATGTGGTTTGGCGTTTTGTGTGAATGCATTTATTGTTTCTCCAGGCATGTTTAGCAGCATAGGTGTAGGCATGGAGTGAGCAGAGTGTTAGATTTTACCAGGTGAGGAGACTCAGGCAGGTGGGGTGCAGGCATATGCCAGAGGGATGATGGACCTGGAGATTAAGCTGGCTAAGGAGGTTTATGGGAAACCTAGGAAGACATCAAGGCACACTGGAGAGAAGATGCAGACAGTGGATCATAGGGCCAGTGGGGTGGAAGGACTTTTGGAGTTGGGTGCAGAGAGAATAAACTGGAAAGATCAAGAGTAGTGGTTAGAAGATGCATGGGACTGCATTGGGCAGGGCTGGCTGGCGTCTAGTGAGGAGATCTAGTACATGACAGTGGGAGCGAGTGGCTGGGGGGGGATGGAGTAGATGGCAAGATCCTTGTTCCAGAAGCTGAGGGATTCATTGTAAGAGATCCTCTGCTCAGTTGGATTTTGAATTTGCCAACAACTCAGGCAGGAATAACCTTGCGGATATGAGAGTTAGGAGCTATAATGGTGACGAGAGTGCGGGGTGATGGTAGTTATGAGCATTTATAAAGAGGAGATGTGACTGGGAGCTGCATTAGGAGTTCAGGGGGCCAGAGGGAGGCAAGTGTGCAAGGAGAGCAGGGGACCCTGACCCGTCCTCAGGCTCAGCAGGAGTGAGGGGCTGCCTGCCTGCCTGCAGGGGAAGCAGCCCCTCGGGTGGGGGAGCAGGCTGGGGTGATGGGCCCGTGCAGAGGAGATGGAGGGTCTGCTGATGACACAAGGTAACCAGAGGGGGCAGCGCAAGTGTGGGGCTTTGGGGAAGGTTAGGATGTGAAGACAGTCGGGCTCGTCCAGGGTCCTTTGAGGGAGAGCACATGCCAGGGAGGTGAGCCTTTCTGAGATGGACATGAGCAGGAATGACAGGAAAGGTGACCCGAGGCAGGTAATGATGTCGTGGCTGAAAGGGCAGAGCTGTCAGGAAGGACAGGTTCAGTCCTTGTGCCCAGCTCACCCTCCTCCATGGCGGGGGACAGGCAGACTTGGCCCAGTGCCGAGCCGTCCCTCTGCCCCCTGGGGATGGAGCTAAGGACGGTCAGCGCTCTGAGCATGCAGCCTCACCTTGACCCCCGAGGAGGAAGTGCACGGGAGGCGTGGAGAGGCCTGGGCTTGACTCCAGAGGTGGCCCCGTGTGGGCGCGGACCGGGGCTCTGCTTGTGCTGCCTCCTGCATCTCTGGTGGGAAGTGCTGTAGGCATTTGGGGAACTTGATTGATTTCTGACTTGGGCGGAAGGGGACTAGACCTCAGGCCAGATACTCTCTCGCTCCTGGTTTTCTATCCCTTTCATCTCATTTGTTCTGCTTTCTAAAAGATCTTCTCAACTGTACCTTCTTATTTTTACTGAGTTGTGTTTCTGAAGTCATTATCTCGGACGATATTGATATGCTGGTTGATTTGCTCCCCTTTAATTTTTTCTGTGTAGTTTCATTCCAGATGTTCTTTTATGTAGATTTATTTAGTTTTCAGTTTAAAAGTGGAATACTAAAAAGCTGGTGGGCAGCTTGTTGGTGGGGCCCATCCGAGTTTCTGTAAAGCTTGATGTGGCTGGGAACCTTCGATGTGGGTGTGCTGACTTGTATTTTAGGCTCGTCAGAATTCTAAAGAGCGTGCCTCCCATCTCCTGCCGGAGGGAGGCTCCAGGCCCAGCTGTGTGCAGTGTGGAAGCGGGGTGGGCTAGGGGCCCCCCCATGCAGCTCATTTCTGTCCATCTAATCTCATTTTCCATTCATGCAACTGCTGTCTCCAACTGGACTTTCTTCTTTCCCAGTCCAAAGTCTCTCAAGTTTATCTTCTATTTTATTAAAAAATTTAGATAGCTTATAATTGGTATAAAATCAGCTGTTGTGTGTGCTTAGTCGTGCCCGACTCTGTGTGACCCTATGGACTGTGGCCCTCGGGGCTCCTCTGTCCATGGGATGCTCCAGGGAGGAGCACTGGAGTGGGTTGCTGTGTCTTCCTCCAGGGGATCTTCCTGACCCCGGGCCTGAACCCACATCTCTTATGTCACCTGGCAGGCAGGTTCTTTACCACTAGTGCCAGCTGGGCACAGACTTACAATGTGCAGATGCACATCACAGAACAGTTTCCAAGGGTACCACGACCAAGACCACAGGATGGGCGGCGCAGGACAGAGGCAGTCTCCACTGTGGAGGTGAGGAACCCAGGGTCCTGTGTCTGCAGCACGGCTTCCTCCTGAGGCCTGTGGGGGGGCCTCTCTTCTAGACGGCGGGCCGCTGGGTCCCTTGGCTTGGTGACAGTGTTCTCTCTGCCATCACATGGCTTCCCTGTCCATGTGGTGCTCTTCTGATTAAGGACCCCAGGCATACTAGACTCAGGGCCCACCTTATTCCAGTGTCATTTCATCTCAACTAAGAGCCTCTGCAGTGACTGTTTCCAAAATAAGATCACATTATGAGGCAGTGAGCTTAGGACTGTAATATACGAACTTTGGGGGGACAGCAGCCTATGAAACCATCACCCCAATCCACATGGTAAAAACATGCATAACCCAAGTCCCTGTGTCCCTCTGTAAACCCTCCTTCCTCTCCCACCTCCTCCCCTTCTCCAGAAACCACCAGTGTACCTTTTTGCCTCTTCAGTTTGTATTTTCTGGAGTTTCTTGCACTGCATATACTTAGCTTGAAACTCACCATTTTGCTGCATGTGTTACCAGTATATTCGCTTCTTTCGCCAAGCAGTAATCCATTGTATATACATGAACTACTATTTGCTTTATCCTTCCGTTGATGGACATTTCAACAGTTTCTTGTTTGGGGCTATTAATGAGTAAGCTGCTATAAATGGCCTTTATTTTTGGGTAAAATAAGGTCAATTTTGTAGCCAAACTCAAAAATATATTTCCAATTATTTCTGTATACAGCTTTCTAAATAAGAACACTTAACCTAACTCTCAAATTAGAACAAGAAACATCCAACTGATGGTGGGATTTTCCATTTTAAACAAAAATTTAAAAATACCCAAAGATGTGCTTTTCTACAGATGAACACAAATAATGAAATACGGCTATTTTTTGGCTATTTTCATTAGGACCCCCGGTCCTGGGGCTCACTCCTTTTGATCATTTGTTCACAGCTGACCTCCAGCACCTGAGCACAGTGAAGAGGGTCTCTGAGTGAATGATCTGTGGCCTTATTCTAAGATGCAGCCATGGGGCCAAGCATCTGTCTCATTTGAGAGGCTGGACCTCACTGATGAGCCTTTACTTCCTCTTCAGATTAGGAAACTGAAGCTGCAGTTGGAGGAGGAGCGGCAGAGGGGCTCCAGGAGCGACGGGGGCACAGCCGGCGACCTGGCAGAGCTCCAGAACGGCTCAGACCTGCAGCTCATCGAGATGCAGAGTGAGGCTGGGCCGGCGCACTCCCCGGGGTGGGGCGCGAGCAGGCTGCTGGGGCCTGTGGTCCCAGAGATCAGCCCTGAGGTGGACCAGAAAAGCGGTCCCAGTCAGTCACGGACTGAAGAGCCTGCCTCCAGCTGCTGTCCTGGGTGGTGCTCTCCCCTCCTGGGCGACATGATTTCTAGAACATCTTGCAGCTAGTGCCATCACGCACTGTCCTTTTTCACATTCCTGTGTTATCTGTAAGCCTCCTTCCTACTGATAAGTTTTTCTGGGGAGTTTATCTTAGATGATTGGAGGGATATATTCGGAACTCACTCACACCATGCAGAGTGGTTTTATTTAGAGTTTTCCCAGAAGTAGTCTTGACTTTACTAGATGGAATTTAAAACAGGCCACAAAGTAAGCCCATTCAGTTTACCTAAATTCCTGCCTGTTTTTGACCCCATATTACTGAATATTGTAAAACACCTACTGTATTCACAGTATTCCACAGTAGGGAGACATCTGTATATAGAGAATGTATAATCCACACAGGGGAGACTTTTATTTTTCCAATTTGAATAAGGTGTTTCTAATAACTTATTTTAAAATAACTGGTTCCTCCCTGACCTTTTCATCTACATATTCTGAGTAAGGCCACTTAGGCCTTTTTGGACAAAGGCTTCATTAGAACCAACTTACTAGCATTAACGTTTTTGTTAAATTTGGATGGCTGGAAGGGATTTTTCTTCCCCAGCATTTCTAAACTTCTTGTTTTAAATAGTTTACTTCTAGGTCAGATACACAGCTGATGATTTCCAGCTCTATCCCTAATGCATTATCACAACATGCTACTGAAAAGCAATTACTTCAGCAAATACTAAGCATACATTATGTGCAGAGCACTTAGCTGCAAACAGGTGGACGCAAAAAGCTGAGGCACCAGGGGCCTGTGTTTTCCTATGTTCTATATAACGTGAGGAAAACATAAATGTCCTAAGCGAAAAAAAAAAAAAAGGAACAAAGGGAGGAGAAGCTACAGTTAACTTTAGAGGGTCATGAAGACGGTGAAAACTGAGGACCTTAATGGCTGCTAGACTTAAGAGGTCAGAGGTGGGCAGAGGGGAACCAGGACAGGGGCCCTGCCGCGTTCACAGTAGGGCTCCCTGCCCCAAGCTCCACCCGCACACACCAGACTCTCCTAGGTGCGGTGGGAACACGCGCTGGAGCGGCCCGCAGGACCGCGCCGGGACTGCGGTGGCGGCAGCAGTGGCCTGCGTGCTCTTCGCCACACAGCCCTCTCCTGGGCAGCAGGCGGGCCCCCCTGCCTCTCCTCACACCTGCATCCCTGCAAGAGGTGGTTTATTCTCTTCTCTCCTAGGAGATGCCAACAGACAAATTAGTGAATACAAGTTCAAGCTTTCCAAAGCGGAACAGGATATAACCACCTTGGAGCAAAGCGTAAGTCCTTCCTGTGTTTAAGGCAGCAAGTGATTTCAGTCCCCCTGACAACACATCTGCTTCCGGCCTCTCAGTGGCTAACCCCGTGAGTGCCTAGGTTTTTCTGAGCTGTGTCTGCAGTTGGATCTCTAGAACAGCTCCATGTTAAAGTGGAGAAGCCAGCAGTGAACTTCAGCCTTCTCTATGAAGGAAGACCGAAGCTATACTTCATTTCTTGGAGCCAATTCAAGAAAATGGTCCTTTATAATATATTCCCTTCCTGTACATTTCAGAAAGCCTAACGACTTCTCCATTCTGGGAGTCTCCTCCCGCGATGTTACTGTGGCTCTTCAACAATATAGTCATCATAAAACTGAACATGGGAAACTGGCCCTGTAATGACTGCACAGCTCATCTTCTCAAGGGATGACAGTTCTTGGTTTATAAATAGCAGCTGGGTTCTGAGAGGACCTCTGACTCACGCTGAAGGGGCTTGTTAGCATTAGATTACTTGGAATCTGTCATGATGTCATGTTTCCATCTTGGCTGCAAAAAAACTGGTGGCTCCTAGTGCCAGCCCCTGAGGACTGTGTTCTCGTATTTACAGATCAACCGCCTGGAGGGGCAGGTGCTGAGATACAAAACCGCTGCTGAGAATGCGGAGAAAGTCGAGGATGAACTGAAAGCAGAAAAGAGGAAGCTACAGAGAGAGGTACTTAACTGTACTATGCTTCTCGAAATACGTTCCTAAAAAAACTCCTTTGGAAACACATTCTTTGCTGTGTAAGGATTTTCATCCTGGCTCCAATCTTTAATGACACAGTAAATGGAATCATTTACTCTGTGTTGGTTTTCTGACCTGCACGGGGACTGCCATTTACTTTTATGTTTTGCTCAGATAGAAAAGTTTTTGTTTTAAATGAGGTCTATGTCTCTGTATGTCTGTATGCCCTTTCTCTCAGCACCACTGGTTCACACCTCTGGCTGACTGAAAAAAGACACCCCCTCCACCGCACCCCACCCCCGGCAGTAATTCCATTTCCCCGAGAGTGCAGAGGAAAGCCATGCCGGGCTTTGTCTCTGACCATGAGAAGTGACCGCTCTCTTCCCGTTTGCAGCTCCGAACAGCACTGGACAAGATCGAGGAGATGGAGATGACCAACAGCCACCTGGCCAAGCGGCTGGAGAAGATGAAGGCCAACAGAACGGCACTGCTGGCCCAGCAGTAGGGCCCCGCCTGCCCCAGGGGCGACCTCCGCCCACCAACGCAGACCCCTTTCAGGACCGTTTGGGCTTTGTCATTCAGATAGCCACTTTGTATTTTATAATTTATGAGAGAATGAAACAGGTTTGAATCTTCATGAATGAACATTTTGTGTGTAGCTGATTCTAGACTAAGAACTAGTCCATGCCGTTACTTTTTATTTCCGTAATTTTAGAATCAAGTTGACTCACCATCTTTCCCCAGCCGCCTCAGTGACTGGGCCCGTTTCTGGAGGACAGCGGCTCAGCGCCCACTGAGATACTTCCTGGAGACCTCAGAAACACAAGTGCCTTCTCCACGGTGCAGTTCAGACTGCAGTGATCTCCAGGGCCCAAGAGACACTTACCCTTTACCATCAGGTAGCGTTTATACTCAGTGAAGAAACAAGTTCACAGGTGGGGAATATATGTTTCACTCAAATTTGTATGTTTGGAGGAAAAAGCCTTTTTTGTAAGATATTTAAATTTATATAAGAAAATGTTAGAAAAGGATATGGGGAGTGTATATAAAACTTGTTTTATTGCATGGGGCAGGGGCGCCCAGGGCCTGTTGCTCTTAAAGTAAGAGTAGGGTCCTTAGTCTTCACATCAGCTGTGCTGTATCTTGTAAAGTATTTTCATCTGCTGCTTATTTGTGGAATGAAACCTCAGACCAGCCCAATGGAGAAGGGAGGGCAGGCCAGGCAGGTGGAAGTCGGCCTGAAGAGTCTGTTAAACACACCCTTCTGCTGACTACAATTGGCTACCGACACATTCATTCTGTTAAGAGGAGCCTTTAAAACAAATCATGGCGCTCACGCCCCTCGTCTCTCCTTAAGGAAGAATAATCTGAAACACAGAATTTAAGAACTTTGGTTTCATCCTTTAAGGTACCCAGTTCGGAGGGTTTTGCCGTGGAGTGTGTAGCCATGTTGCAGTATTTGTGATTCTCTGTTGTTCTCAGAATCGAGGTGGTTTCATGGAAGTGATTATTGTATCTTCAACGTGTTTACACAAAAAATATGGGGGAAGTCTAATGAATTAAGGCCACATAAGATAAAATTAGACATGAAACTAGATAATAAAGTTAACTTAAATATGAATAAAATCTCTAAAAATTATTCTCTTCTTTAGAATAATTATCTGTTTTAAAAATATGGAAACCAATGTCCTGAATTGAGGTGATTCCCTGTAAGTTTTCTTTCAGGTGGTGCATAGGAGGGGGTGGTGGGGAGGCGTGTTCTGGGATGCAGATCCATCCTGGAACCCCACACCTGGCACCGGCACACTATGCCCAGCTGCAGGCCTCGGGGGTCCCTCCTCCTCTCCGCCCGGGGTCACTCAGCCTGTCTTGCTCCCAGGGCTGTCTCTCCTTGTCCCTGTCTTCTCCAAATGGAATGGCTCCACTTCTCACAAGATAGATTCTTCTGTTCTTTTCCGCAGGACTTTCTTCACTGAGCCTTGTGAGCTGGACTTACTTCCAAACTACAGGCATTCTTCCTCCCGGTGCTGACTGCACATTTCTTTAATGCAGGCTGATATTAAGCTTATTTTTAATGGCACTGATAATTCAAGTTTGTATTTTTATAACACCCTTCAAAGAAGAATGCCTAGAAATGCCTTTATCATATGCTGGTATAATTGATAGCCATTAACAAAGTAGGCTAACTTACAAACTCATGCCTGTTATGCATTGCATAAAGACTGTTCAACCTTTTTTTTTTTTTACTAAGACTAAATTAATTAGTTATTAAAGGTACTAATAGATTGACCATGTAGAAAGCTGAACTGACAGTACCATCAATCTCTTATAGGTTCAGGTGCCTTTTAAAAGCATAAAAAACATAATGTCTATCATCTGATATTAGAAATGCATCAGAATATAAAGAATCAAATCAATGCATGATCTATATAAAATTTTCAAGGCCATTTAAACTTACCAGATGTCCAAGAGGCTTTCAAACTGCTTTTGGCAGTCTTCAACACAATCAGGTATACACTAGGTGAAAATGGATCTAGGTAAATTTCATTTGTAATGAAATTAAATAAATCATGCTCAGGACAAATTTGGCTATTTATTTATAGTCAGTCTGCCACACATGAAGCAGTTCTCCTAGTGAGAAGGTGTACGTGAGGTGAAAGTTCCACCTACCGACATCAGGACACAGAAGGAAGAACAAACCACCCCAGAGTCCCCAGGCGACCACAGTCAGCACCTCTCAAAGACTTTGTACAGGTCAGGCAGGTTAGCGAGCTGCAGGATGTTCCCATCTTCTGTGAAGTGTTTTGGAGGCAGCAGGTGGGAGCGGAAGGCTTTATAGATGACGTGCTCCACAGTCCACTTCCAGGGCTTTGCAGTGGAGCCGGGCACTTCACTCTGGAAGAGACAAGGTAGAGTCCGCATCTCAGGGTACGCTGGGCCTGGACAGTTGCGGGGGCTTACAGTGGGGCTGTGCGACCGCAGGCCTGGGCACAGCAATGAGAGGGTGAAGAGAATCAGCCGTGGCTCTTGTGATGCTTCCCCCCAAGGAAGCTGTTTCCATGCGGGGACAGTGCTCACTGTAGCAGCATCTAAAATAATGTCTCCTCCTGACTGTGCTGCCTGAATGGCAGCGGTAGGAAGTACACTCCAAAATCACCACAGGCTCTGGGAGCCTTTGAACATACCCTGAAACTGGAGCACAGCACGTCATCTCAGAGGATGCATGCGATCACCAGCCGGTTCTGTGTATAAAGTGACTACATGTCCATCTGACACCACAGGCAGAGCTTGTTTTACTGCACTTTGCAGACTGTTGTGGTTTTGTTTTTAAACACAAATTGAAGGTTTCTGGCAACACTGCACCAAATCTACTGGTGGCATCTCTGCAACAGCGTTTTTAAATGTGGGTATATATTGGCTTTAAGACACAATGCTTTATTGCACTTGACAGACAGGACAGTGTAAACATAACATTTTATATGTACTGGGAAACCCCAAAATTTGTGAACTCGCTTTACTGCAGTGGTCTGAAACGGAACTTGCAAAATGTCTAAGGACTGCCTGTGTTTCAGTCACCTCTCCTCACCCAAACAAAACCTCCAAAATAGCTGTGGATTGAAAAGCGCTGTCATCTGACGTGGAAACATGAAGAACCCAGGGCCCTCCCTTAAGAAGAGCTGGGAACCTGACCCACTACAGCCAGGTCCGTCTGGCGCAGCAATGTCAGAGGCAGAGGGAGGCACAAGCCGCAAGAGACAGGGAGACTGGCCAGGCTGCGGCTGCACCCTTCCAGGCTCACGGTGGGAGACACGGACCCCGGGCCCTGGAATCCACCTGCTTCTCACTACAGGGGCGTGTCTGTACATTTGACAGTGAGATCACTCTAAGGGTACCTCCCAGTAGTGTTTCAGAAGGAGATAAAACTTTTAAGAGCTGACCACTGCGTTAAAGCTGATGTGCCTTGGATCGTAGGAGTTCAGAGAGGGGCGGGCTCGTGTGAGCGCCCATCCCAGTTCTGGAGCGCCAGTGTGTATCGCCCTCATACCTGCTGGCCTGAAAGGGTTGAGTCTGCAGACACGTACTGCTTCCGGATGGAGTAAAACATCGCACATTCCTTACTGAGGCTTTCAAAACATTCCTTTTCTTCATCCCAGTTCACCTGGTCCAAAGAGAGAATTCAATAAGTCAACATATGTACATGCTTTAAACACATTTCATTTCTAAATGGAGATAACAGACGACTTAAAAAGGACATGTGGTTTTTAGGCATGAAAGCTGTAGGCTAGAATTGCTGAGGACTGCTAGGGTGGGTGGGGACAAGAGGGGCCTTAGCCTCGTTAGCCTTTCCTCCTCCTCATCACAGATGATGGTGGAGCTGCAAGCCTGCACCCCCCTGCCCCCAGCACTCATCCCCCCACAGGACTGTCAGCAGGACGAGCTCCATCACTTGCCTCAGTGGCCAGTCTGAGGATGAAGATAGGCAGACCCTCCAGCGGGGGCACGTAGTTGTCGATCAGAAGGGGTAATCCAACCAGGTTCCCTTCCTGCATAAGGAGGATAAGAAACCATGCTGTTAGAGTTTAGACCAATTCCATCTCCCTGGCACTTGCTCCAGGTCCTGTCCTCAGACTTGCTATTCTGGGTGACCAGGTTGGGGCCTGGGGGCAGCAGAGCCAAATGCTTAGAGAGCCTTCTCTGCGGGTTCTCTTTAGGTCTGCTCACCAACTGAACACAGCAAACCAAGTCCCAGAGATCAAGGGGGACAAAAACGGCCGTCACCCACCTCATCAATCTCCAGAGAGAAGTAGTCTGCAAGCATCTCAGCCTTCTTTTTCAGAAACTCGACAATGTACTCGGCAAGTCCTTCCTTGGGACCGTCCTCCTCTGTCCAGCCACTCTCGGGACTGTCTAAGGCGAGCATGGCCAGGTCAAAGAGCGGTGCTGGCTCCTAGGAAGGGGCAAGAACATTAGGAGCGAGCATTAACAGGGCTTCCAAACACTGGCTGAATTCCCACAAGACCACTGTCACCTCAGCAGGCGAGAAGCCACAGATCTAGCACTCATTCCTCAATTCCCCCAAAGACGACACTTGAAAATCTACAAAACAAGGCTGTCCTCCTCACCAATGGCCATTTCAGCAGAGACGGCGTCACCAACACACAGGCCTGCTGAAGAGCCAGGAAAGGCAAAGCCAGCGGAAGGCACTCCCTCCAGTGCGGCTCTAAAGAGCTCGCTTTCGTATTTCTAGAAACTCACGAGGCCAAGCCTTCATTTCTTCCTACCGCCTCACTAAAGCAAGGGGGAGGGAAAGTACGTTAAAGCGAAGGACATTCAGGTAAATCATCTGATTAGGAAGGAGATTGATCTCTATTGTGAAAAGTAAGATCCCTAAGTTTTCATCCATTTCTCCCCTTTGAATATTGTTACTGTTGTCATATTAATACATTTTACATGTTATAAACCCACAGTATACTGTTCTTACTTTTTCATAATTACAGAAGAATC